AAATAAAATAATAGTCCGATAACTACCGAAAAAATTGAAGTAGCAATATAAAAGCTTCCAGCAAACAAAAGTCTTGTTCCAGATGGCTTTACAGGAGAGTTCTACCAAGTATTCAAAGAATTAAAACCTATGGTCCTTAGACTATTCCAAAAAATTCAAGAGGGAGGCACACTTCTAATCTCTTTCTATGAAGCCAGCATTACCCTGATTCTAAAACCAGATAAAGACACCACAAAAAAAAAGGAAGAAAAGAAAACAAACAAACAAACAAACAAAAAAACCATAGACCAAAATCCTTGATGAATATAGATGCTAAAATCCTCAACAAAATTCTAGCAAATCGCATCCAGCACTACATAGAAAGATTATACACAATGATCAAGTGGGATTTACTTTGGGGATGCAATGGTGGTACAATATCTGCAAGTCAATAAATACAATACATCACATAAATAAATTGAGAGACAAAAATCACATAATCATATCAATTGATGCAGAAAAAGCATTTGAATAAATCCAATACCATTCCTTGATAAAAACTCTCAGCAAAGTGGTAGTAGAGGGATCACACCTCAAAATAATATAAGCTATATATGACAAATGTACAACTAACATCATGCTCAATGGGCAAAAACTAAATCCAATTCCCCTAAGAACAGGAACAAGACAGGGATGCCCACTTTCACCACTCCTGTTTGACACAGTACTGTAAGTGCTAGCCATAGCAATCAGACAAGAAGATATAAAATGCATCTAAATTGGAAAAGAAGTAAAATTGTCCTTATTCGCAAATGACATGATACTGTATATAGAAAACGCCAAAGACTCCATCAAAAAACTCCTAGACTTAATAAATGAATTTGGCAATGTAGCAGGATATAAAATTAACACCTAGAAATCTATGGCCTTTTTATACACCAATAATGAACTCACAGAAAGAGAAACTAAAAAGAAAAAAAATCCCATTTGCATTGCACCAAAATAATTAAGATACCTAGGAATAAATTTCACTAAAAAAGTAAAAGACCTTTACTCGGAAAACTACAGGACATTGAAAAAGAGATAGAGGAAGACATAAACAAATGGAAGAACATACCATGTTCATGGATTGGTATAATCAACATTATTAAAATGTCCATACTACCTGAAGCAATTTACATATTCAGTGCAATCCCCATTAAAATACCAATGGCTTATGACAAAGACCCAGGACAAATTCTCCAAAAATTCATCTGGAATAAAAAAAGACCACGAATAGCCACAGCAATCCTGAGGAAGAAGAACAAAGTTGGAGTGATCACTAGATATTAAGCTATATTGCCAAGCCACAGTTCCCAAAACTGCCTGTACTGGCATAGGAACAGACATATAGACCAATTGAACAGAACAGAGAACCTAGAAATCGACCCATGCCATTATGCTCAGTTAATATTTGATAAAGGAAGCAAGAGCATACAATGGAATCAAGACAGTCTTTACAATAAATGGTGCTGGGAAATTTGGTGAGATACATGCATAAAAATGAAACTAGATCACCAACTTACACCATACACAAAAACAATCTCAAAATGGCTAAAGAACTTAAACCGAAGATAGAAAACCATAAAAATCTTATTGTAAGACTCCATAGGCAGCAAAATATCAGACATATGTTGTATGAATATCTTTAACTGGTAAAGCTCCTAAGGCAATAGAAACTAAGCAGAAAATAAACACATGGGACTACATCAAAATAAAAAGCTCCTGCACAACAAAAGAATCCATCAACAAAACAACAAGAAAGATCACAGCATGGGATAACATATTTGACAATGCTATTTCAGATAAGTGTTTAATCTTCAAAATTTACAGGTAACTCATGCAACTTAACAAAAGGAAGAAAACCAATTCAATCAAAAAATGGGCAATAGACCAAAATATACACTTTTTGAAAGAGGACATACAGAAGGCTGAGAGACACATAAAAACATGTTCAATATCACTCATCACCTAAGAAATGCAAATTAGGACAACAATGAGATACCATTTCAAACCTGTCAGAATGGCTATCATCAACAAATTAACTAAGGAAAAGTGCTGGGGAGAATGTGGAGAAAAAGAAACCTCCTGCCCTGCTGGTGGGATGCAGACTGATGCAGCCTCTGTGGAAAACAATATGAAATCTCCTCAAAAAATTAAAAATGCAGTTCTCATTTGTCCCAGTAATCCCACTTCTAGAACTATATCCCAAAAAACCAGAAGCACCAGTCAGAAAGGATATATGCACCCCTATGTTCATAGCAGCACAATTTACCCTAGCTAAGATTTGGAAACAGCCTAAGTGCCCATCAGTAGATGAGCAGATTAAAAAACTGTGGTACATCTACACAATGGAATACTATGCTGCAATAAAAAGAAGGAACTTTTACCATTCACAACAGCATGGATGGAACTGGAGAGCATCATGCTAAGGAAAATAAACCACTCAGAGAAATAAATATCACATGATCTCACTCATATGTGGGATATAATAATCAACATAAACTGATAACAAAAATAGAACCAGAGAAAAATGGCAGGGGAGGGGTGGTTAGAGATCAACCAAAGGACTTGTATGCATGTGTATTAGCATGACCAATGGACGCAAACACTGAGGCGGAGGGGGCTAGCCCTCACAGGTGGGATTGGCAAGGCGGGAGGGTCAATTGAGGTAAAAGAAGACATATGTAATTCTTTAAACAATTAAAAATACATAATATTAAAATTAATTTTACCCTTTTGTGCTGAGAACCAAGATCAATAGTAATTAATATAAATGCAAGAAGTCTAGTCAGAAGGCTGAATTGGGCTCTTTGATATTCACAGGGTGAATATTTGCATTTTATTACCTACTGCTGACTCAATGGCCTAAAGCAAACTCCCCCAACCTGATAAACTTAATATTTACTAAACATTACCATTGATATGTCTGTTTGTAATTGTGTATTCTAGTAAATAAAAGCAGATGGGAATGAGACTCAGTGGAACTTAGCTACTACAGCTAAGCTTTTCCTGGCTTCCACAATTTCCAAATTTATATTTCTGGTCTTGTGTAGCAATTTGCACATCAGCTTTTTCTCCAAGCCTTTGAACCCAAGGCCATGCTGGCCGTGGCTTCACACTTCTGGTTTACAGCTATGAGAAAATTTGAAATGATATATGTGACTCCTATTATATTTCCATTGGACAATGCTGCTCAAGAGACATACACACATTGGGAACTCATTTCCTGTCTTGTCCCAGAATATGCAACCAAGGCCCTGATATAGACATTCATTGTCCAGAGACAACACAATTAGATGTGAAAAAGTACTGGTTTGTGTCATTGAATGAGGCCTATTCACTGAGAGGTAATTATACTATTTACAGAAATAGAGATGCCAGATAGGGGAGCTGGTAAGGTGACAGATGGTGAAGGTGAAGTTGATTCGTAATTGGTTGGCTTTATATAGCGGCTGGGAGCCCATACCTTCCCACCTCTGTTTCCTACTGTGACAACAACTTGAATCAGAAAAAAAAAGTGAGCAATTTTCTGTTCACGAAAGGGCTTAGCCAGACAAAAGGGTAGAGTTTATTCAACTTCTGTAAAAAAACACACACAATTTCTTATTTGTCAGGCAGTGGCAAAGAAATCCCGAAAAGGGTGTTCTGCTGGGTTTTCTTTTATTGAACAAGTAATTGGACAGACAGCATTGTGACCAGGGGATCTGTGGACACAGACTGAGTGGGGATGTCTCTGTGCCCTCTGATTGCAGAATCTAGGAGGAAAGAGATGGAGAAGACTGAAAGTCAGTGAGTCCATTCCCCCAACAGTCTCTATTGTTTTCTACAGTAAATAAGACGAGCTCTGAAGAATTCTTTGTATATACAGATGGTGAAGGTAGGCAGTTCAGAATCAAGATATAAATGGTCCCTCATGGCTTTCACCAATCCTTACATCATTTGACCTGAAAGAGAAGATGGGTAGGTTAAATGGAAGAAATTCAGAGATGTTGTAGAAATGTGGATTGTGCATTTATAGCTGTACCATAGTCAAAGAAATCCATAGTTTCCTGCACTCTATCAAGGACTTACAATTTAAAATCATGTTCACATTTTATTCACTTGATTCAATGAACCTTTATTGAGTGCCTAGATTCTAGGTCCTAGATCATACTCCTTGTTGCAGTGGATGCAAAAATGAAGTCTATTCTCTATTACATGTGACCCTCATGCAAAGAGATAGATGCTGTTAACATTATTTCACAGAGGAGCAAACTGAGCTTCAGAGAAGTTTAGTTGAATTCCCAAAGTCTCACATTTGGTCAGAACTTAAATCCAATTTTTCTAACACTATGTTTTGTTTTAGGCCATGAGACTATAACCAGCTATCTTCCTTGTCTGATTCATCCAATATTCATATACTCTTCAGTCAACATTTAAAACATTAAATCAACACAATTTTTTTTTAAAGGGGGCAAATGCGTCAGGCAGTTTTCTTCCATATAACTACACTTACCACCTGGAGCCCTAGTACCACTATCACTCCAAACTCAAACCTCCATTTCAACTTTCACATTGAAATTAAAATTGTGAGACTTCCTTTGGTTAGAAAATCTCAAGCTATGGTCTTGCTAAATCCTTGAAAGTCTTTGTCAGCAAATTAAGAAACTGGTTATTCACCACACAAAATAGTATTGGTATTTTCCTTAACCTAGTAATTTTTCCCCAGAGTAACTAATTTTTTTTAATTGAGATAATGCCTTCTCTAGAGCTCCAGATGCTTAGAATCTCCTGATACCTAAAAGATGGTGGCAGAACATAAGAAATAAAGTCAGAAGATCTACATTGGACTCAAGATACAATACTGAATAATGCTGATAAATTACAGAATTTCTTGCAGGATGATTTTCTATAAAATGGGAAAGATAACGATCTTTGCCCTAATTACAGGAGCATTTCGAGGATGCAAAAGGAAAGCACATGAAACTCTAAAGGGTTACATTCATCTTAGCAGTTACTGTATAACAGAAAGTCCTTCTTAGAGAGTAAGCAAAAGTATAGGTTCCAGGACCCTCAATCTATTTTTCCAGAAAAGCCTTTTATTCCATTCTTGGGAGTCCAGGCTCTCTTAGATTATCTTCTACCCAGGAACAATGGTCAGGCAATAGGTTCCAACCTCTTGGATATGAGTCCAGAGTAGTTACCAGAGCAATGCTTAGCCAAGTCCCACCCGTATCACCTTGGTTATTCCAAAATCACAGCACTGAATCATAGAGGGAACTGAAATCACACCCAGGACACCTTTTGTTCTAATGACTTGATCCATCAGCTAACTTCATAAATAATTCCTGTCATTAATTATGCCTGATATACACCTCTGGTGGAAAGAAATACACTCAAAAATAAACGGAAGGAACTCCTTTGCAAATGTTTTGAGCTTAGCCTGGCAAGATTCTTCATTATTTGAATAAATATATCTTATCATATGTTCCTATGGCAACTTCCCCCTAAAGCAGTTTTTGTCAAGTTGTCTAAATGAGATTGCAGTAAGGTGTTCCTAAGGTGTGGTCTATAAAATTTATATAAAGATTATTTCCCCCTTCCTGTTCTAGAATGTACGTGACCAGGTGTGTTTGTGAGATTAGGGGACAGTGTGTCTGTCAATACAATGAGGGGCAAATTGTTAAGAGTTTATAGGTAACAAGAGAGCAAACACAATATGGGGACTGGAGCAAAAATTGAAACCCTCTCTTTATAGACATGTAAAGATCCAGAGTAGATAGATGACTTTCTCAAGCCCAAGTGAGAAATTAAAATGTCCTGATTTCAGCCCATGATCCACTGATTCTACCTGCCTTCCAGCTGTTAGTATGAAAGCAGCAACAGCTTATAGCTCATTTTTCCAGTTTCCAATATCAAGCGCCACTGAGTAGTTCTTTTGAGTATGGTCTCATGTAGTGTTGCTTAAGATTCTCAAATGTAGCAGAACAGTTTCCAATTCCATATTGCCAAAGCTGGCAGTGGAAGGGAGTAAAATAACAATGTGGATAATAACAATTATCTATTCATTAAATATTGTTTACTTTAATTATTTTTGTGAATATCAAATATAAATGTATTAAGAGAGAATTTATTAAAGTAATTATAAATAAACACAGTGCCAGTGTGTGTTTCTCTAAAGCTAGTCATACTTTGGTCTCTTAGGCATAATAACAATAGTGATAATAACAATAAATGCCATTAATTTTTAGACACTGTGCCAAATGCTTAAAAGTCAGCACTTCTTGAATACTTTCAGTAACTCAGTAAGATCTTTAGTTTAAGTGAGCAATTTTCAACCATCTCATGACACACATAAGCAAATTAGTAAAATTCTGCGGCATACCAAAGTATGTATCTTTTGCTAATCTGACAAAAATTTAGGTATAATTTTGATTCTTTCACATCGGATGGCCATTGTACTGTTGGCTGTTGGCATTTTTTTAATTTGACAATCTAAAGGGAAAGAGGTCAGTGCCCCTGACTACACAGTCAGCTGTTGGATGTTTCACAAATTCTTCTAGCACAGCAGTTGAAAATTGCTGGTTTAAATATTTATGCGGTTTGCCAAAGGTCTCATATATGAAGACCATCAAAAACTAGAAATACCATATTTATCTGGTAACAAAAAAAAATTCTCTTATTTGAATATTCTCAGTTCCTCCTCCCCCCAAGTTACATATCATCTTGCTAAATAAAGAGATTCCTCAAATAAAATCACCAGGGAGAATGTCAAACTCAATAATGTGTGCCAAAACATCCTTGTAGGAATTTAAATGAAAAGGTCAACTTTTCATTAGGGAAGATCATTTAATACAACGTAAAATGAAAGGATATGGGGGCTACACAGAAATGGTTTAAATCCAGTTCTGTTACTATTTGACCTCTCTTGGTCTCTATCTCATTTTTTATTGTAGACTACAAAAAAGAAAACCTCTGTGAAATTGTTATTAGGGACATCACTACTAAAAAAAAAATCTACTACCCACTAAACATTTTTAAGTGTTAACTACTTTATTATTATTCCCATATATTTCAGCAATTATTTAATTATCTTCATCAACTGGCTCTAAAAACCGTAATCATGGTTGCCAGGGTACTTACAGATGCTGGCACGCTGAGAGGTGTTGTTTCTGGGATGCTATTCTGCTCACATGGCCCTTCGCTGCGTATGTGTGTATTACTCTGGCGTATTCTAAAACAGAACAAAGTAATTTTCAGAGATGAAGAAAGAAAACAACAAGGATTGGTGTGGGTGATAAATTTATTCATCCCTTAAACAGAAGATTCCCTTAATTTTTAAAACTCTATAAGACCCATAGATGGATTTCAAAAGATTAATGTTTTCATGAATATTATGCATAAAAATTGTTAATGTCACATCATTTTCTTTCCTCTTCTGAAAAGATTAACTCTCTTCATATTATCAAAGCATTTTTGACCTCCAATTTTCAAAGGAAGTACTGCCTGGCATACAACAGCAGTGTAGTAGAAAGAAAACTGTATTATGCCCAAAGCAACAAGATTAAAATCCTGTCTGATCTGCTTCCTAGCTATGTGACTTTAAACAAATTAACTGAGCTTCGGATTCATACTCTGTGAAACTATCACCACTTCATGGCAGGTAGTGAGAACTCAGGGAGTGGTGAATGTGAAAGTGCCTAGTCTGCAGATGTGAGATCGCATAAAGCTCTCATATTCAGTTTTTATTCTAAGTATATGAAGTGTAGAGTAGTTTTTTCTTTTATGAATTATTTGACTTAAAAGGACACATATGTAATTTCAAATATTTCTCTACAAGTGAAAAGCAGGAGATTGGGCTCATCCCCCTATTCTGGACATTGCTTATAGTGTCCTGAGAAGGATAGAATATCCATAGATTGTCATGTAAGTCTGGAGCGGGGTAAGGTGGAAAAATTAAGATTTATCACCGTGCTCTCACCTAAAGCTAGTCCAATGGAGGTTGGGAAAAGGTGAAGAATATGGATGGAGGTGTCAGATAGCAATTGAGAAAAAAACAAAACAAAAAAATAATAACAAAGCTACCACCAATGCATGCAGTCTTAAACAATTCCTTTGCATTTAACTTAACATAATAATTTTTTGCAATACCCTGTAAAGTCAGTTGACTCAGAGAACTGTTTCTACTTCTCCAAGAAAGCAGCTAAATCTCAGCGTGATGAGGTAACAGGCCCACAGATGCACAGATAGTTACAAATCTGAAAGCCAACGCCAACACTGGGTGTGCCATTTGCTCCAGTGAGCTTTCTTTTGCATGGTAACACTTCCTGCTCAAAGAAGATTTAAGGAGCATGGGAAATCTGTGACTATCTGGTAGTCCTAAGGCCCATTAGCAATCACAAGCTGGGCTAACTCTGCATAGCAATGATTTTCAACTTTTTCTATCAGACAAAGTTTGGGTGACTCCCATAAGTATCCACGAGCTTATAGAGATTTTCTCTAATTCTTGTAACCCCACCACTTTTCTCCTTTCACTTTTACTCAGTAAAATATATAACCAATTTCAGTAAAGGGATAACATCAAATCTCCTTTATTTTTGATATTGATGATCACAAAATGTGATTTGAACTGTGATGATTAGTCATCTGATTGCAGCATGCCTCAAATTGCTATCCATTTCACTGCCATGGGAAACACTATAGACAAGAGCTTCTACACTAGAAGGAATGATGGTGCAACTTGTATACTTACAGGTTTTCATGGCAGAGCATGCATGGGTTGTTGTATGTCTGGCCATCATCACCACAGACAGGCTGTAAATTCTTTGGGCACAGGTAACCCATCTTGGGCAATACTCTATAGTGTTTGCACATCTCAGAATCCTAAACAAGCAAAACATAAATCAGATTTGCTTCATGACACTCAAGAGGGATGAGCCGGGGAAAGTCCCCTTCATTTCCTCCATCACATTTGAATAAATGACTAGTAACAAACCTGTCACATAGATCAAACAAACTCACATTATTTATTTCATAGCATTATTACATAAATTTAACCTCCCGGATTTGGCTTCCTTAAAATAGGGAAGATAAGTAGTAAATCAAGACATAAGGAAGAACAAAGCAATAAGAAAGCCAAAACTCTACGTGATATTGGGCACAGATAAATGAGACATATCCATAGGAAGGATTCTTGAATGGTAATCATGCAAAACATAATATTATTTTATCTTAAATGAAGGTACTAGCTATATGCAATCTAGAAAGGAAAATACTAATCAGAGGCAAATACTAGTTAATTGCATGAGCTATTGAGTCTGCCATTAAATCAGAGGAAAGATTTATCTCACTTCTCTGAGCCTTCGTTTCTCACTGAACAGCATGAATAATAATAGCTCTTGTCTCATATTGGTGTTTTAGGGGATCAAATCTGATAATGCATTTAAATGCATGCATAACACAGTGTTTGGTACACACTGAGGGCTCAGTATATGTTAATTGTCAGTATGTTTTCCAAAATTAAAGATATATCTTTCATGTAGAAGAGGGAATGTGTTTGTTCTCTGTAGTCTTTTAGAAGTTTGATTTCAATAGTAACTTTATTAATTTAAGAAAATAGGGCCAAAGGAAAAAATCAAACTTAAAAACAGAATTATAGAAGACTTAAATACAATTGTGTCAGTAATTACATTAAATAACAGTAAGAATAAACATCCTAGTTACAGAACAGAGATTATCATACTAGAAAACAAAAAGACTCAACTATATAATGTTTATAAGAAGTATACTTTAAGTAAATATTTCTATTTCAACCAACAGAATAAAAAGTATTAGCAAGATAAAGAAGATAATTTCTAATGATTAAAATAATAGTTTCATTAATAACGATCCCAAATATGCATGTACCTAAAATATAGTTTCAAAATATATGTGGTAAAAAAAATTGTCTAAAAGTAGAAATAGATAACTTTACAAACATAAATGGAAATATTGACATACTTCTTTCAGTAATTGATAGCATAGCCAAAAATAAATAAGATATATTGTAGAATATTTGAAAAACAAAATTACCCAATTTATCTTAGGTGATATTCATAGATCTCTATATCCAACAACTACAGGCTACACATTCTTTTCAAGTACACATGAAATTATTATCAAATAAACCTTCTACTGGGCTGTTAAACAAGTATCAATACATTTCAAAAAATTAAAGTCATAAAATTTGTTTTATGATCCTAGTGGGATAATACTGATAATAAATGTGACAGTGATAAGGTTTCTAGGTAATCAGAAATTAAATAACACACTTTTATATAACTTACAACTCTAAGTAATCAGAATATAGAAATGCTGTGAAGTGTATGATAATGAAAGTATAGAATAACAAGTATAGCAGTTCTTGCATTGAGTTGAGGGAAACTTATAAGTACTATTTTCCTTAAATTAATAAAGTTATTATTGAAGTCACAGTGACAATATGGGCAAAAGCACTTGAGGCTGTACTGAATCAGCCCTTCCCAGGCCTTTCGGTGGAAATGAGATCCACAGGGGGCCAGTGACAACACCCACCATACCTCCCTAATAAGAAAATTAAATTAATAAGTAGCTTTCCTAAAAGAGTCATTCTTACCAGAGAAGATTTGGGGGAATCTGAGCTGTCTTCCTCACTGGAAGATCTTGGTTGGGATGGCTTTTCTTGAAGTCTTGCCCTTTCCAAAGCTTCTTTTTGACTAAAAAAGAAAATAAAAAGTAATTTAGCTCCTATAACTTCCTGTGGGAAGTTAAGTAATTCCAATAAAATAGGATGGAACCCTAGAATATTCTATGTTCAAAACACAGAACACAGAGTGACCAGGGTGACATGTTAAGGAAAGTACATAGCAGGGCTCTGGTTTAGAGCTCTTATCACATAATAGATGTGTAACCTTAGATACGCTGCTTAAATTCCTTGAGCTTAGATTTTCTAGAACATTTAAAAAAGGTAGTATTGGTAATTCATTCCTCAAAAAACAAATATAAAATATAAAATAAAAAAGCGACATTCTACAAAGAGCTAAATGAACACTGATGATGACGATGGTGATAATTGTGATCCTTGTCCTCATTATCTATCATGCCCATTGGTCCCCAAATATGGTTGTCCATCAGAATAACTTAGAAACCCTTTCTCAAAAACAAATTCCTTAGCTTTGGAGGTTGACTTTATATATTTGGAAGCATAAGTACATATTTATATATCTTTCTCTTTTGAGTCTGATCTAAGTTGGAACAAAACTCTTAAATAACTTCTTGTAATTACGATCCCGAGAGATGAAAAAAAAAAACAAAAAACTTTTTTAAGTGACAGCTAGTAAATATCATGGTTAGATCTTACATCTGGATTTCCTGTCTCCAAATCCAAGCATTCTTCCTCCTATACCAGGTGTTGTCAAATTAAGGGCCTTGAATCTAAAATCGTAGTTTAAGGACCCCATATTTATTTAAAGGGCTTTTCTACAAATACAGCTCCCCCACATGCTGAAGGGGTCAGAGGGTACCCTTACTCACAAGACAGTTCTGCACATGTAGCACTTGTTCTTATACAGCCTCCCATCAGCACCATGCACAGGGTCATTCTCCCGAGTGCACAGGAGCTCGTCATTCCTTAGGTACGCCCGGAAGTTAGCACACTCGTCCTGGAAAATGAGAAAGAAGTGAGCGTGGCTGTTTCCCTTTAGCCTGGCGGTTTCCTCACATTGGACTTGAGGAGGATTTCTCTTGGCTCTGGGCTCAGACTCACTGCACTTATCCTGGCAATGGAGGCCAAGGAATGCCCAGACTTCCCATTCTCTGTTCCTTTCGGAACCTCTTTGCACTGGTCCTGCAAATGCAAGGAAACACAAAACAATGCTTGATAGACCTTCTGGTCTCTCATGTCCTTTCCTTCCATCCTTCCTTTCCCCTGTTTGCCACATGAGGTGTGCCCTTGACCAAAGGACATTCTCACAGGAATGTAACTCTACAAATGGGATTGATTATCACTGCTAAAGGACTGAATGACGATGTCTTCTTCAGAGTCTTGGAAAGCTAACAGAAAAGGCAGCATCATGCATGCATGCTATTGATTTGTTGATGCTGAGAAAATCATCTGGAGAAAACAGAAAAAAAGACGTCAAGGGCAGAAGGCGAGGCTTTGGGGTTCGATTCTATTACCTGTGCTGTTAAATCAGTGTCAGCAAGCCACCTGAAGCCTCCTTTCACATTTAGTGTCAGAGATAAGCATGCAGGGGAGGAGAAAAAGGATTTCACCCTTTATTTTTCAACCCACATTTCTCCCAAGATAAGAGACTAAAGTAATGACACACTGTTTGAGAATTTTGTAGAGAATTTTCTACAAAACTGAGAAAAACATAAAACCTCAGAGCCAGAAAAAAAAAACACACCTTATTATGCCCAAAGAGACAATATGGGGAAAATCAATTTTCTTTGAGGTAAAACATTAGCATCTTCATTATCCCAACATTGGAATAGAATTCAAAATCTGAGGATAAAAAGTAAAATAGTTTTCTTGATATTTTTAAAGAAATAACCTTTTTATCATTTGAAGGTTGGTTGTGTGATTTTTCTTCATCATTCTTTTTTCTGTCACTAGCTTCTCGGTCACTGCAGAAAAAAAAAAGAATAGGGTAGTTTTTCCAGGATTATTATTGAATTTTTTAAACCAAGTGTTTCTCCAGTTCTAAACATTAACAAATTCAAGAGTTTTTTCATGTTTCAAAAATACCTAAAATAGTTTTGTTTGATTTTTTACTAATGAATTCTGCTTGTTGGAATTTTCATAATTTATGGCAATGCTTTCAACCTTCCTCAATCCAATTACTATGCTGTCAGAATCATGTGATCCTCTTAGGCCATTACTCTTTTCTCCTAGTAGAATCTACTTATGGGCTTCATAGAGAGAGTTGCTTCATTTCTCCTTTTTTACTTTTCTAATTAAAGCACAATTAAACTCTTCAGTATTGATTGTTCACTATATAGTTTTAGTGCTTTAAAGTTTATGAGCATGTTTTATATTATCTCCTCCAATGCCTATAAAAACTTTACTGTGAAATTACTCTTCCCTTCACATAGGCTCTGTAAAATGAATTGGCCTGTCCCACATTACTTAGCTGATAAGCTTCCTCTTTGAAAGCCAGTAATGTGAGCACAATCCACTAGCTCTCTTCTGATCCCACATGATGCTCAACATCAAAATGAATTTCTTGTGAATGTGCTGTAGACACTTACTATCCTCTTCTAAAGTAAGGAGCTGTTATATTTGTCACTTGTACCTGGATTTTTAAATTAAGAACTGGTTGGGCTTTTTTTGGCATCATGCACAACACATCAAACTGATCAATAAACCTCCTCACGTACAAGATGCTCTGGCACATGGCACACTTGTTGACGTGCATCTTCCCGTATGGACCTCGGACCGGGTCGTTTTCTCTGGTGCAGATGAGCTTTCCGTCCCTCACCATGCTCCGGAATTCATGGCACTGGTCCTGCCAAAAGGAGCAAAGCAAGATGTTAATAGTCTGGTCTGAAGAACTGAAAACTGGATTGGCCAGTGAGGTCTAAACTCAAAACACTTCAAGGCGGAAAATATCTAGAGAAAATGAAATTTTAGAGGTGTAATATGCTTTACAGGCACTTTATTCAATATATGTTCAGGGAGTTAGGATCCTCTCCACAACATCCCTCTCAAATAACTGTTTTTCCCCAATGGAATTTGCCTTCTGAGGCAGCCCATACCATTTTTATGCAGGTTTCTATTAGGCTGAGCTCAAAACCTGTCTCTCTACAACTGCACCATTATTCCACACAGAAAAAAATAACCTCAGAATGAACGAAAAGATGCTCCTTGGGTAAAACATACTAAAATGTAAACATTTAGCTTTGTTCCCCAATAACAAAAACATTTATTCAAATCTGCATTATATTCCAGGTACTTTGTTGGGTGCTCTGATAGATTTCTTTAGTTGTCATAGAAACCCTATACAATAAACAGCATTATCCCCATTTTACAGATCAGAAAAGTAAGCCTTGGAGAGAATAAGTAACTAAAGTCAATGTTGGATTTGTGACTAAAAAAATAAAATAAAATAAAATAAAATAAAATAAAATAAAATAAAATAAAATAAAAACTTGTTCACAACCACGCTGTTTTCCTTTTCTTCACTGCTTTTACCTGGCAGAAAATGAAACTCCTGTATATTTGTGAGAAGATGAAACTATTTCATTCCTAAAAAGAAGCCAAAGGAACTGGGTCCTTGGAATCTGGCCTCTGTTGAAAGCTTTGGACATCTCCATAAGATTTTCTTGAACTTCTGTTAAGCCCAAAGAGCCAAAATAGACATTTGGAAAGATTACCTTCCAAATACTAGTAATTTAGATTATAGTTATCATTCTTTCTTTAAATTGTGATTTACATAGACAACTCTAGACCTGCTTTTGCTGAGCACTTAAATTTTTTTCTGGAATTCAATATCTGATTAACATATTAAATGTTTCACAGCTATCATTTTTAAAAGCTACTAGAATGATTTTCCTTTCCAGGTGCCCTGCATACCAACATATATGTTTATGATAGCATTCATCTTCCTGAATTGCAACCTTTGCTTTATTGGTGCAATGTCTGGATCTTCCATTTATTATCTGTCTGTAGTTATCTTCTCTGAGTTTTTTCTGAACTGTAAAATTGGAAAAATACCAGCCACTGCATAGATTTGGGGTTGGCTTAAATAAGATAATGCAAATGCTTTGTAAAGCTTATCTCACTTTACATGAGTAGATAAGACTACAGTTCCCTTCTTGACACACACACACACACACACACACAGACACACACAATATCTGGACATTATATATATATATATATATATATATATATACACACACACACACACATACAGAGAGGATTTTTTTAAATTTTCCATTTGTAAAATAGATAATAAATAATTTTAAAAAGTAACAGGATTACAAATAGAATAATTGGCCAGTAGATATCACTCGAGGCTGTACAGTACAGCCTTTTCACAAAACTATTCATTTACTAAAATGCATAGCAGACATTGCCAACATATTTTTAAAACTGATAACTATTACTAAGTTTCATTTTGTTTAGTCAATATAGACAGTGAAAAGTTGCCTCATTGATGGGAAAACTTTCCTGGGGAAATTTTACGCTTCTAATTGGCGCTCTGAGATGGGTTATAAGAGAGTGTGCTGTGTCATATATTGTGTAGGTGTGTAAAGCATTGACATCATGTGTTAAAGTACAAAATTGAACACAAGATGGCACTGTAATGCCAAGAATTTATGATCATGAGCTCTAATGATACATGCTTTCTTATTTGTAACTTTTACTTGGTTATTTTGTTTTTGTCTTAAAACTTCAGAAAAGAAATTTACTTGATACCAACAATAATTTGACAACTGTCACTGGCCCTGTAGATGGTCGTAATTGCATCAGAGGTGCTCTTAGGGCATTGATTAACATGCTATTTCTTTGCAAGACATGCCCATGTCTTTCTTGTTTACCATTGTTATAGTTATAATGACTACAACAGAGTAGGCATTTCTTAAATATTTGTTGGATAAATTAACCAGACAACAACCATCCAAATTTAAGTATTGGCATATATTACCTGTTTTTCATTGCTCCTTTCTGTTGTGTTTTGCCTGTCATTGTCTTCTTTCTTTTTACTTTCAGCTGCTTCCTTTTCCCTGGAGGAAAAGAATGGAAAGAAACATTTCAACCAAAGTGGACAACTACCTCATTAATTACGAGGCTTTAAAAATGTGTCATTTTCTCACATTGATGAGAAATGATCATTATACTTTAAGACTCACAGTTAAAGGCCCATTTTTAAAATTTAACTTCTTTAATGTTTTGAGTATTACATAAGTCTCCTTTTCCCCCAGTGACCTTTTCCTGGCCACCCCATCCCAGCACATGCCCTCACCGCCCCCTGACCCCCGTTTGTGTCTACTGGTTGTGTTCATATGCATGCATACAAGTCCTCTGGTTGATCTCTTACCACCTTCCTTTTAACTCCCCACCCCTGTCTTCCCTTATAGGTTAGACAATCTATTAGATGCTTCTATTGCTCTGGTTCTGTTTCAAAGGCCCATTTTTGAAAAAATACTCACAGTTTTTCCTTACACATTGCACACTTATTGCCATGTGTCTTGCCATTTGAATCACGGACAGGATCACTTTCTCGGGTGCAGATAAGTTGTCCATTTTTCATTTGGCCTCTAAATTCATCACAGGGATCCTGAAAAGAAGGGCAGATTATGTTAGGTAGGACTGCTTTCATACAGTATTTGATTGGGCTTTGAAATCTGAAGATTTGGGTGTCTCTGTGGAACATGCCCATGCCTTTTCCTTTCCCTCAGGCATATCTTGCTTCTCTCCTTCTCCTAAGTTCCAATGGCCTTTCTTTTGCTTCTGTAACTTGTTCCCTGAGCCCACACAGCTCAGCTAGCTCATTTCTTCTATGGCTCACTTCTCCTACCTCTATGACTTTCTAAATAAACTCTTGCTTGTATTTGGAGGATGGGGTGAGAAAGAAGAAAATATGAAAATTTTGACTCAAAATTGATCAAAATTTTACTAGGCTGTTGAGAGAATTAAATAAACTACTCTTTATAAATGTGCTTTGTAAAGTATAAGACTGTAAGATTTCCATTTGATATTAAGTTTCCACACTGAACAAGTTTACCAGGAGTTTACATTAATGATGGCTTCTGATCTAAGGGCAAGATCTTGGTTGGCAACAATGACATTTCTTTCCATATTTTTGACAGCCAAATGCTGACTTACAAAAGACCATTCTTGCCAAAACATAGTAAATGACTCACCTTTCCTGATGCTGATTCAGTCCCATTTGCTTTATAGCCAGAATACGTATTTTTTCCACCTGATTGTTTTTCCCTAGAAAAGCAACAATAGTTATCTTATTAACATGTACCGAGGTTTCAAATGCCCCTTAGAGTTTATGTATCTTAGATATCTTCCTGAACAGAGAACGTCTCTGCATGCCCCCATCATGGACAGCCAGCTGGGTTATTAGGAAGCTTCCTCACCTGGCTGGTATGGCTCAGTGGTTAGGCGTCAACCCATGAACCCAGAGATCCGAGGTTCAATTCCCTGTTATGGCACATGCCCAAGTTGCATGCTTGATCCCCAGTAGGGGTTGCACAGGAGGCAGCTAACCAATATTTCTCTCATCGATGTTTTTATCTCTCTATCCCTCTGCAATCCTCTCTCTCTAAGATCAATAAAAACATTTTTTAAAAAGCTTCTTCATCAAAGGTAGATATTCTAGGTCGATCAACTCAAGTAATTTTAAAGTCTCCTTTATTTATTTATGTCCAAATATATCTCCCTGTAATCTCTATCCTTTAGTCTTATTTCACATTTTCAGGACAACACAGAACAAGCCTACTGACTCATTACATCTTTCTGATATTAACCCTTCAGATATTTAAGGCAAGTTTCAGGTCTCAAAGTCCAGCTTTCTCAGTTATTCCACCTTTTCATCATAAATTTTAATTTTTAATTCCCCATTAACTCATCATTCTGCTACCTTGATTTGTAGGTTAACTTATTATAATGTTATTTTTTTTAAAGTATGGAGCCTGTGATAGAAGAAAGATCGAGAAATACCTTAGGATCATGTGTTTTTAACCTCTTACCATTCCTTAGGGGAAGCTGGAGAAATAATATTTTGGAATTAACAAAAAGAATAGTTTTCATATAGGGAAGTAGGCAGTCATTCAGAAGATTATGTAGCCATCTTTCATGAGAAATAGGCATTCATTCAGGATGACTATGTGGCTATCTTTCAGACATGTCTGTTAATAAAAGTACTCACAGAATCTCTTTACACATGGAACACTTATTGTTGTATGTTTTGCCATTAGCATCACGTACGGGATCACTCTCTCTGGTACAGCTGAGTTTTCCATTTTTCATATTATCACGAAACTCAGCACATTGGTCCTGAAAAGAGAGAAAAGGTTTTCTGTATCACATGGTCTGTTGTATTGTTATTAAATTTGTTAAACAATTTGAGTAAGGAATGCTCTTGTCAACCTTCTCTTACATGGAATATAAGACCTAGAATTACTATCTATAGGAAAAAGTGGGCTGGGACCACCCATATGCTATGATGTACAGTTGTCATGCCTAATTTTGCTGCTTTTAATGTTCCACACAGGGAAATGACAAAGTTGGTGAAATTTAACAGCATAGATCAAGGGTCAGCTAATACATAACCAATAGGACTAATCTGTCCTGTTCTTATATACAATGTTTTATGTATAAAATTGGAAATACCTTTATTCATTCTAGATATTATTTATGGCTGCTTTCCCACAACAATGTCAGGAGACTGGGATGAAGCCATCACATTAACTATTCCAGATTTGAAGAGGACACAATGAGCCTTGGAGAGACTACAAATTGCTGAGATATTATATTACCCTAAAATTTTAAGGGGATGACCTACTGTTCTTCCAAGGACATTTTCACACTCTGCACTACACACATTTACTTTGTTCCACAGCCTTTGCCATGGTCTTACTGCCAATGAGTTGAGCTCACCTTGGTTATGAAATTAGAGGTATCTCTTACCTGAGCTTTTCCTCCACCACCACCACCACCACTACCACTGGAACCATGCTCTGAAGCAGTTCTTTGCTTTTCTGCTTCTTTTCTCATTCTTTCTTCATTTTCTTTCTGGCTGGAAATTAGAAAGTGGGAGGCAGAAGATAATAGATTACCGAGTGGAGTGCATGCCTATGCGTTTCTCATCATTTGGCCACATGAGATTGGCACAGAATTCACCAGCACTTATTGAACATCTAGTATGTTGCAAGCCTTCTTTGAAAAGAAAAAAGATGAATTATGCGTAGTCCTCATTGCCATAGAAGAAAACCAATATTTATAAATCACTAACAATACCAGGTGAGCAATTAATTAGTATTTCATAAAGGCTCACTGAATCTTCAGGTATTTCTCTCAAATACTTCATATTTAAGAGGTCCAAAAATAACGATTTTCTTTAATAAATGTGTTCTTACTTCTAGATTATCTCCCTTCCATGAAGAACAAAACACTGGAGTCACCTCTCACCCTCTTGGTTGGCTCAGATAGCTGTTGCCACAAAACACTAATTTCACCTTCACGGTATCTCCCATGCTGATCCGCTCACCTTATATCCTATTTCCCAGGCTCCAGTGACTTTACACTGGGTCTTTGTGAACCCCTACCATCACCTGGAGTATTCTTAATTTTAGTCCCTCCCTTCTGTTATTCTCCTTTATACTGCTGACATATGAATCTTCTTAAAGGAATCATATTCATCTATTACTTAAAAATTTTGCAGCCTTTCCACTTTATATATCAATAGGATTGACTAAAAATCCTTGATCTGGCATTCAAAGCTGGTGAAGTTTCTAAGTATTAACTAAAAAAATCTTGCATTTTACTGTACATATAACAGTTTTCTTAATTTTAGATCTTTACCTATGCTGTTCTCTTCTTTTGTTCTCATTCCTTTCAGTCCTGTCCTCATATTATCCAAATTATAAGGTCAAGTTCTATAGTTGAACTATTAACTTTCCCTTCCCTGAAGTAGTATAACATATTGTCTATCTCATTTTTCATTTGGCAGTGTATTATCAATATATTAACTAATGCCCATGTCTAATGAACTATATGATTTCTCAAAAGATCTTTCATTCATCTCTGTGAAACCATTATATACATTATACATTGTAGATGTTCAGTAAATGACTGTTGAATGGCAAATAATGTAGTCTTACTTCCAAACATTGTGTAAAAAGCTAATTTTCTGGTATTTTCAAAAGTATAGATAGAGTAGTTAGATTTTTTGTAAATTGATATGTTTTTCCCCCCCAGAGGAAATTAAAAAAATAATCCAGAAAAGGGAACAAATGATAGCAAAGGACTAACAATTCTATTGAGACAAATGTTGTGATCCATTGATAGGCTCCATCCCAGAACTAATAGAGAATATAGTAACAACCTAATATATTGTCTATTTCTAGAATTGCAATATTTATTAGCTCCCCAGCTCTTTGCCTCCCCAATTCTGTTGACCCACAGCAGGGGCTTCCTTTGTGCACTCACAAGACTGATTTACACATGGCACACTTATTGCCATGGGTCTTGCCATCTGGACCACGCACGGGATCATTTTCTCGTGTGCAAAAGAGATTTCCATTTTGCATTAGGCTCCGAAATTCACCGCATGTATCCTAAAAGAAGCAGAAAAGGTAAGAGCTTGAGTATTTTCGTGGAAATTATTTTGTTGGGTTCCTACTAAGTGCTTCCTAGGAAAAAAAGGGAAAATGACCTAAGGATTTCTTTTCTAGCAATTGTTTTTGCTCAATTCCTACTAAGCACACAGGACTTAAAAAGGTGTTATATCTTTTTTCCTCCTTGAGATTTAGCCCCTGAATTCAGACTGAAATTGCAATCACAAGCAAGCAATAATATTTTAATAAAGTGGGTTCTCTGAGGACTGGTCACATTTCTTACTATGGGTTTTATTGTCCATCTCTGTTATAATAATTAAAAAAATACACACCACAAAACACTGGACACATCATAGAATTTAAAAAAATGGGTTTAGATAGAACTTCAAAGTTTATGTGGTCCAACAATCATACTATATCTCAATCTCCTCTATATCATGCCTACCAAGAAGTTACCTAATTTGCACAGGAATACCTGCAGCAATAATAAAGACCATTATGCATTAAGTATTCCATATATGTCCTGGGTTGTTAAGAGAATGACATGAAATAATACACATGACTGACATCTCGGAAGTACTCAGTAAATGTTTGCTCCAGAATTATCTGAGCAATTAATAGAGAGTAAGAAATCACTTAAGATCATAGAATAGCAATTAGGATTAATTTTGAGGGGGTTATTTGTTTGTTTGCATCTTTTAGTTCAAGTTGAAACTCAATGAGGACAAAAGTAAGTTTTTTCCCCAGCTCTACTTTAAGGTTCGCTGCCATATTTCCTAACTGGTCATAGTTATCAATAAAAAATGTGGTATGAGAGGACAGTTTGTTGGTAGTAGCTAATATAAAGTAAGAAATAGTCAGATTCTGAAGAACTTTCTCTTGTAGATGTTGAAAAGTGATCAGATGAGCATATCATATTATTTTTAAATCCAGACCCGCAATTGTGGGAAATAAAATTGTAAACAAAACAATCAAGCAGAATTCCAAGTGTGATACTTTTGTCTAGAAATTATTTTTAATGTCAATAGTTTTTGGTGGGGACAAGGAAATGACCCCAAAATTGGGGAAAAAAATCTAACTGAATTCAGTCCTTTTAAATCAAGAAAATATTATTTAGGAAAGTTGCTTTTCTATTTTTTCCCTAACTGCTAACACCAGAAATATTTAAGGGTAAAGCACAATTTGACCAAATGTGACCATCTAAAAACTGCATGGTGTGTTAGAAATAATGCTAGATTAATGGACATAAGACACTGGGGGGATGGGATGAGGGCATGTGCCAAGGGGTAGGGGAGGCTGGGGGAAAAGGGAGATATATATTACTAATACTTTAAACATTAAAATTAAATTTTTTAAAAAAGAAAGAAAGAATGTAGATCGGTATCAGGGAGTCCAGGTTTGAATTCTATTGTTTTCATGTTTCAATTATAAAAACTCTGAAATATGATGACATGAATTCTGACATCAATATTCTCATTACGTTTCTAAGCAAGTACTTCTTTCTATCTGCTTTAAATTGTCACTTTAAAAATATGGGAATAAGTTAAATTAGGTCTTTGTAAGTAAAACATATTTTTCCTAGGGAAAAATATGGTCCACCAGATTTTTTATAAATAAAGTTTTATTGGAACACATCCATGCCCATTTGCTTTAGAGTAGGGGTGTCGAACTCAATCAGAGAAGGGGCCAAAATCTAAAATCCAGCCTAAATCGCGGGCCGAATGGTTTACTGAACAGTCATAAACTGTCATTGTGATGGAAACGCAGCGGAGTGCAGTGATGACAGCACGGTGCGGGCCACATTGCAAGGCCTGGCGGGACAGATTTGGCCCGAGGGCCTTGTGTTTGACACATGTGCTTTAGAGCTACAACAGCAAATAGAGACTCTGTTACAGAGACCAAACAACCACAATATAAAAATACCTACTTTATGGCTTATTAAGAAAATTTCTTCAACCCCGTGACTAACTGAACCTTGAGCTCTCTCACACAGGCTTCAGTAATTTTATGAATTATTTTTATTTTTTTAATTATATATTTTATTGATTTTTTACAGAGAGGAAGGGAGAGAGATAGAGAGATAGAAACGTCGATGAGAGAGAAATATTGACCAGCTGCCTCCTGTACACCCCCTACCAGGGATGTGCCCGCAACTAAGGTACATGCCCTTGACCGGAATCGAACCCGGGAACTTTCAGTCCACAGACCGAAGCTCTACCACTGAGCCAAACCAGTTTTGGCATGAATTATTTTTAAAGAGCAACTATAATACAAAACCCCATTCTTTCATTGTGGTCTGAACACTCCAGGACAGTTACCTTTTCGGCTTCTCTCTTAACTTTTGTTCTTAATTCAGCTTCTTTTTCTTTTGCTTCTTGTTGGCTAGAGGAGAACATGGGTGGAAAGAATCATTCCCAGCTCCCAGACATATAATCCTAAAGGGGAAGTCTCTCCAGATAGAAATATTCTATTCCTTCCCTTTCACAACCAACTTAGCTTCGGAGTCAAAAGGCAAATGCACACCCCCAGATTATTTTTGCTTTTAGTGTTGCTTAAACAATAACACACACTACAGTGAGCCAGCAAATAAATTTTCATATTTCTTTTAGAAAATAGAGATTTGTCCTCTCCCCAGAATGAAGCTAGAATACTTAAAAACAGTGACTAGATATTAGCAAATTTTCAATTGATAGGCCCAATAATTACATCTTTAGGTTATTCATGACAGTATGTATGCAGAGAACAGAAATCTCCATCCTTGTATGCCATTAGCTTGGGGTAGTTTCCCCTTAGCACATGGTCCTTCCTTGATGGTGATTCACGTGCCTTTCAGAGCACTGAGAACACTACAAAGAAATGCGCTAACTCTAAGGCTTTATCATAGGAAATCTCTCAATTCAAAGAAAGCCTTCATTTTCTACCTCATAGAGAGAACCTCCAATATCCTCTCTGTTGCCTGCCCCAAATGAAGGTATCTCCTCCAGTCAGCAGAAGCAGTGGCTAAAGATCTACTCACAAGAAGGCCTCACACATGGAACAGGTGTTGCCATGGATTTTCCCATCCAGGCCCTCAATGGGGTCATTCTCTCTAGTGCAGGGAAGTCGTCCGTTCCTCACATAGTTACGGTATTCTCTGCACAGCTCCTGCCAAGAATCGGGTAACTAAGTATTCTCACATTAACCCTTTGAAAACTATGATATAATGAACCAAAACATAATTGATAAATGGAAAAGGTGATGCAGAAGATTGATAATAGCCAAGATGCTTTCAGAGGTCCAGGTCACACATTATTTGGAACATAAGATTGTTGTTCCATATATTAAAAAACCTTCAATTCAATGTAAATATTAGTCTCTGCTCAGCAGCAGGAGATATAGAAAGAAGAGTAATTTATTGCTCCTTTTGTAAGGAAATTTGTGGTAGGCAGGACAATAGCTCCCAATCCCTAATCTCAAATTTGAATGAGCCCTAATACCCAGAGGTTGTGAATATCACCTTAGGGCAAAAGGAATTCACAGATGTGATTAAAGATGGGAGACTGAAATGGGGAGATTTTCCTGGAAATTCTACTGTGCCCAATGTAATCACAAAGTTCAGCCATTAAAACAAGGAGAATGAGACAGACGAGATAGTGAGAGGGAGACATGACAGCAAAAAAATAGAGATGAAATGTTGTTGTCTTTGCAGATGACAAAAGAGGTTCAAGAGCAAAGGGACATGAATGGCCTCTAGATGCTGGAAAAGGCAAAGAGACAAACTGTTTCCTGAATATTCTAGAAATGAACACAGCCTACCGATAGGAAAATTACAAATTGAAACTGTAAAATCTAAAGCACATCATGGGCATTAAAACTAGAACTTGTGGTCCAATTGCTTGCTCTCAAATTACTAATTACATACAGTCCTGAACTTCTTATCTAAGCCTCTGAATCTTCTTCTATAAAATACATATAGTAATACATTCCTTGAATGATTACTACAAAAATCAGTCATAAAATTGTTAGACCACATTGCATACAGTCGCAATGAAATAATTAATAGCCATCACCATTATAATTGTCATTATCATAGTATAATCATCATCATCATCATCATCTCTTTATCATCATCATAAAGATGTTAAGAAGCAAACCCAGGCTAAATGATGCTATGGAGTAATTTCTTCAAAATCTCACAGAAAATTAATTGGGATGAAAACTTAGGTAATTTTTTTTTCTTTAACTAATAAAAACCTTTACATGACAAGATATGGGGGCAATCTAAAATCTTCCTCTATTGGATTGCATTCAGACAACAAGACAATCTGCATGTACTTCTTTATTGGGATAATATAATTCACATGCTTAGTAGAGAAAAGGGTAGTTGACCTCATCTCAAATGCACAGGCAACTAGATGAAAGTTGTTATGAATAAACTGAACTGGAAGAAGGGATCTTCATATATAAAGATACGAATTCATTTTTTCAGTTTGGATAGTCAGTACAGACACTAGGATTGGGAGGAGGGAGCAAGGGCTGGCCTAGTGAGAATGGAATAGGTGAGCAGCTCCAATGACCTGAAATACCTACCTTTACTGTTTCTCTCTTAAATTTCTCAGCTTCAACTTTCGCCTTTTCTTCAGTACCATTATTTTTCTTCTCTTCTTCTTCAAGCTCACTGCAATAAAAAAAGAAGATGCAAACTAAATACAATTTTTCATTCTCTTTGGTAATGTGTTTTCAGAAGGAATGAGAATCTTTCAGACCAAAGGTAAGATTGAGTCTTCAGTACAATTTTATCCAGTTTAGGAGGTGCTAATACTTTGTCCATTTATGCAGATAAATTCAGTAGTTCCCAGCATCATTTAAAAATTAAAACCAGCATGATTTTTTTTTTATCAGTATGTGAACTTGAGGCGGTCTTTTTTTTATTAGTCTGTGCCTTCAACCAAAAAAAGCCTCAATTGCTTTGATTTTTTTTTAAATTGTGAAACTTTTTTTCTGTTTAAATAATTACCACATCAATGATAAAATAAAGGGATGAAACCAAGTAAAAAAAAATGGGTCTGTAATCAAAATAAACCACATTTCACTATAACATAAAAAATTATAAATATTATTTTAATGGCATTGATAATATTCAAGTTGAAATTCAAATTTTAGAGTGCAATAATGATTCAAGCCCAAGAAGTTTCAACAACTAATATTTGGAGGTTTTTCATGAACCTGATTGGCATTCTTGCCATTTTCTACTAACATGAAGCATAGTAAGGCTGGAAAATATCCTTAGCCTTTATCATGTCTAACCTAGTCATCACCTCTAAGAGAGAAACAGTAAAGGTAGGTATTTCAGGTCATTGGAGCTGCTCACCTATTCCATTCTCACTAGGCCAGCCCTTGCTCCCTCCTCCCAATCCTAGTGTCTGTACTGACTATCCAAACTGAAAAAATGAATTCGGATCTTTATATATGAAGATCCCTTCTTCCAGTTCAGTTTATTCATAACAACTTTCATCTAGTTGCCTGTGCATTTGAGATGAGGTCAACCACCCTTTTCTCTACTAAGCAGGTGAATTATATTATTCACATTACTCTCTACACTAAACCAAATCCAGCAGGTGAGAGAAAAGCCCTAATTTCTGCCCTGCCCTGTTAATCTCTTTTTATGGAACTTAAATCTTATACTTAACACTGGAAGAAGTCATGGGAAAGTTAAGGAGCAACATAAATTTGCACCTTTTTCAGAAGATATTATTTAAATATTTTTCTCAACATTTGTTTTAGCTTGAGATTAGGAGTTTAAGAAGGAGAACTAGAGGTGGTAATATGACATTAGCTTCTCCTGTATTTTTTTTCTTTTTCTTTTTTGTTAATCCTCACCAGAGGGTATTTTTTTCCATTGCTTTTCAGAGAGGGTGGGAAGGAAGGAGAAAGGGAGAGGGAGAGAAGGCAGAGGATATTTTTCCATTTCATTTCAGAGAGAGTGAGAAGGAAGGAGAGTGGGGGAGGGGGAGAGGAAGAGAGAGATATATCTATTTGAGAGAGACACATGGATTGACTGCTTCTCGAACACTCTCCCACCAGGAACTAGGGAACAAACCCACAAACCAGGTATGTGACTAGGAATCGAACCTGCACCTCTTTGGGTGTACAGGCTTATGCTCTAACCATATAACTACACTGGCTAGGGTGAGCTTCTCCTGTTTTGTCCCACACAGTGGAATAACACAATGGCCTATTAGGCCCTGAACCTAGCTTACCAAGAAGACATTTTAATAAACAGCTATGACATGGGCCTGCCTCTTAGGGGATTAACTCTCTACACTAAACCACTTCTCAGAGTATTTATTCCACCTGTGTATAGTAATATTTCTGAAAGGATAAATATGATTCTCTCTAGTTTATTTCTTATTCAGGTTATGTTAAGAGTCTTTACATATCAGACCCACAGAACTTTGTCTAAATGGTTTTCCCTTAACCAATATCTGAATATATTCATAGAATCATAAAATGTAGGGGTTGGAGAGGGACCAAAGAGATCATCCCACCCAGATTATCAAAATTCTGCTCTCTTTGTTCTTAATGATAATTATCAAATGTTAAGGAAATGTTGGCACTAAATTAAGACTTTTCCCCCCATTGCCTAATTAGGAGATAGAAGGATTATTGAATAGAGAATAACATTGTCATTATGTGATTCAACATTACCTAATGTCTTGTCCTTGTCCAAGTGCTTTTAAAATTACCTAGTATACAGTATATAATCTATACATCTCTGAAAAAAAAGTGTGAGATTCAGGGATGATTAATGATGAAGAAATTCCATGGGAAAGATAAGGGTAGATACTCACAACACAGTTGCACACATAGCACACTTGTTTCCATGCATTTTGCCATCTGGGCCACGGACAGGGTCATTCTCCCTGGTGCAGATGAGCATTCCATTCCTCACTTGGCTCCGGAACTCACTGCAGAGCTCCTGGAAAATGAAGAAAATATTTTCTCAGAGCAGTTTTCTACCCTTCCTGTACCTTTGCCTATTATGAGAAATAGGCAAAGAGTAAGAAGCAAAAAATCAATAAGTCTTTTCAAAGCTCATGTCACAGACTCAGAATTGTCCTGGCACTAAAGTAGATCTGTAAACATCCTCATCATTCTCCTGAGGGTGTTTACCATTCAGTTGTAGAAGAAGGCTGATACAATTGATAAAGAACAATATATATATTGTGTTGCACATCAGTCCACAAAAGCTACAAAAGATCAAAGGTGAGAAGAATCAATAGGACTCAAAAGAGAGGAACTGGTAATACTCTGAGCCTTCATGAGAAAGAAAGGAAATCTTTCCATTTACGACAATTTGGATGAAACTTGAGGGCGCTATGCTAAGTAAAATAAGTGAAGCAGAGAAGACAAATAGTGTATGATCTTACTTCTATGTGGAAAAAAGAAAGAGCCGAATTCATAGAAACAGAAAGTAGAATGGTTACCAAGTGGTTAACAAGGAATTGGAGGGCATGGAGGAAAATGGGGAGATGTCAGTAAAAAAGTACAAACTTATAGTCATAAGTCAAATCAGCTCTGGGGACCTATCATACATGGTGATTACACTTAACAATACCGTATTATATGCTTGAAAGTTGCTAAGAGTATATTTTAAATGTTCCTATCATACACACACAAATGTAATTCTGTGATGTGATGGAGGAGTTAACTAAAACTATGGTGGTAATCATTTCAAAATCAACACATTGTACACCTTAAACATATTCAATGTCATATGTCAATTATGTCTCAAGAAAGCTAGGAAAAAATAAGAGCAATGTGCAAAAAGAGAACATTGCTGAATTTTGATTTGTCTCTAGAGCCAAAGGAAAAAAGAGAAAAACACGCTCAACTAAGAAATAAAGAAATATTTGAAGATGTGGAGGAGAGAACAAGCATGACATCTGGAGAAGTTGACACCTTTCAGGGAGTTACTTGTTAAAGTGGGGGCTATAGACTTAAAACTGGAGAGCAACTACAGGAGTGGAGAGAAAAAGGAATGTGTTAGAATCATTTGAAAAATCTAAGACAACTTAGCAACTCCTCAGACATTATGGGTAAAACAAATTTTCAATTCTAAATTACCAACAACAACAACAACAAAAATGGTTTCAGCTAACATAAAGTTATTGAGGAAGGTAAACTTTTAAACTGTATCAACTTTTCCCAAGTAAATTATCAGGCTTATACTTTGCAACTATTGCTAGGAGATAGAATACATAAGGGTAAATCTTATATAGAGCTCTAATATGACAGTAATCTAGCATCTACATACAGTCAAATTTTGTTCTGCTACTTGTAAAATTATCTATATAATAAAAGCCTAAGTGATTGTTACTGTGAAATGACCGGAATGACTGATCGCTATGATGCACATTGACCACCAGGGGCAGCCGCTCAATGCGGGAGCTTCCCCCTCTTGGTCAGTGTGCTCCCACAGGGGAAGCAGCTGCTCAGCCAGAAGCTGGGCTCACAGTTGGGGAGTGCAGCAATGATGGCAGGAGCCTCTCCCACCTCCATGGCAGTGCGAAGGAGCAGTGAGCCAAGCAATAAGGAGCCTGTTGCTAAGGAGCAGTGAGCCAAGTGGTCAGGAGCAAAGAGCAAGGAGCCTAGTGGTAAGGAATGAGCAGGCAGGAGGTAAGGAGTGAGGGATCCTGGACAGTGAGAGGGCTCAGGCCAGGCTGAGAGACAAAGCCCTACCCCTCTCACTCCCAGTGCACTGGTTTCATACAACAGGCCTCTGGTAAAATTTTTAAAGCATGCAGAAAAAATACAGTAGATTAAAGTAACTAGAAAGTAAAAAATTTATGTAATTATCATTAACTATGAGTGAGAATAGTATTTCTTCCATATTTAGGAAGTGATAAAGAAGAAACATGATAAATATTTGTGCATTTTTTTGTAAATTGGACTAATATAAATGTTAAAGATCTTGTACTTTTTATTAGAAACAGCAGATATTTGAATTACATAAATCAAAATTAGTAAATTAAAAAGATTGATATTAATAATCTGTGCCTGACAACAGAGAATGAAGAAAAGTCGAATATGGAGACTATTCCTTATAAAGTTAATAACACTCCAATTTTCATGAAATGAAGCTCCAAATTTGAATTATCATGCAACAAAATTGGTCCTCTGCAAACTCCTAATCAAGATAATTTTCCCTCAGGTTAAAGGTTTTCTTTGTTCATTTCAGGCATGAAAATTGCATAGGAAAACATTTCTGCTGGTGAGGTAGCTAGAACGCTATTACAGAGAGAAAGGCATAACACTAGCATTCCTGAGAAAATTACCTTTGCAGCTTCTCTTTTAGCCTTTGCTCTTGCTCTTTCTTCTTGTTGACTATAAGTACCAGGATGTGGGGCGTCAGGGAAAAGAGAAGAAATTAATGTTAGTGCAGTAGAATAGATTCTTAACATTTACCAGTTGACCATTCATTGCTTTGACTAGTCTCAAGTAACCCCAAAGATCCAATCATAGTTGTTTGTAATTTTATTGGAATAGATTAGAATGACTATGCAAGAGAATGGGATGCAAGAGAAAGTCCCTTAATGAATAAATCTGTTTAGCTTCCCAGCAAATACACTGCAGAAAGAATTTCTTATTTGCCGATTCGTTTGCATCTGCAACAACTCTTTATAAAGTGGTAATATTTGGCTTTTGAGAGGCAATATAGCATGGTAGCTAGGAGGACAAAACTCAAGCCAGATTGCTTAAGAAGCACAAAAAATCTTAATCTCTTTGTGGCTTCCTCATCTTTAAATGGGAAGGATAAAGGAGAGACAGGATAGTAAGTTAGTAAGAATACTTTTTTCATTAGACTATCATGAGCCTGAAATGAGTTGATACATTAGAATACAAATAGAATAAACAAATGATTGACAAAAGTGATATAAGAGATTGGTATTCTCATCAGTGTAATCATTATTATCAGTGACTTCTCCAAAAGCAGGCATATGATGGAAGTGAAGTGAGAGTGACAGTTCTTAATCATTTTGGATAACTAACAGTGTTGCAAGCTGAGTTTAGTGAATGGATCTATGGCATAATTGAATCTATAACACAAGCAATTTAATAATGTTATATAGACAGAAAAATATAAAATAATTTGTAAAAATGTTTTAATATGTTCCAATCAATGTAAAACTTGTCCATTAATCAAATTAAAACTTTTTAAAAGTTTAAGAGAATGCTTGAATATGATTTTAAGTGTGCAAAAAAAGACTATAGAGGGAAGAATAATTCTCAAGAAAGTCAATACCCTTTATTAACATAACCATAAAATATGACGTAAAAAAACTGTATTTCTTTTGGATATGAAATTTTATAGTGATGAGGAAATTATTTAAACAACTCCAAAATTGTGAGGTTTCTTATACTTATTTAAAACGAAAACTGATCTAAACTTTATCATGAGTCTTAACTAAAAAATTCAAGAAGCATTTTCTTTCCATACAGGGAAATTGTAAGGAAGTATCAGAGTTGACCATTAAATGACAGAATGACTTCCTTGTCACTGGGAGATTAATGTAGAGGTAAAGAAAAAAAGACTGAAACATGCCTAATATAGCTAAATACAACTACCACAAGCTGATCATGGCTTTGCTAAATTATCATATACTGTCTACATCATACATTGAGAAATATTATCACTTTGTTTTTCTTGTGTTGATTTTCCTATCATTCACAACCTCTCTGAGCCTTTAATTTCTATCTAAAACTTATAATACAGAATTTATTTCATGTTTGTTGATAAGATTAAATGAGATTAGGTAGCAAAGCTCTTGGCAAGTATCGATACAAAACAATTATATGCATTCAATGAACACTGATGACAATGAATACATAGTCATCATCTTGACTTCTATCTAACAGATGTTTAGTGTTTCCATGGCCCAAATAATATGGGATCAATCTGGGTTCTGTTGTTTTCTACCAGAAAAAAACTGCATGACTAACTACTAAATCCAGAGAGAGAAAATAAATTGGAGTATCCCTTTGGACAAAGATCAAAAGACTTACAGAATGACAGGCTTGTTTCAGGGGACATAGCATGTCATTTATTGTACAGTTATATCTTAGTCCCCTTTAAATGGTCATCCAACTCCTACACGAGAAGGTCACCATTCCCGAAGCAGCCTCTCCTTCCCTAACTGTTGCAAAGTTCATCTTTATGTTGCACTCAGACCTGTCCCCCATAGCTCTCATCCATTTTAATTCTATTCCTTGAGATCACACAAAACGAGTAGACAGATAGTGAATTAAAATAAAATTTCCTAATTTTTTCTGAGTACCATAATGATATTTTACATGTAATCTCATCCATTTCCTATTTCAGCTGGTAATCCTGCGCAGAACTAAAAGCAATGAGTAAGATTATCATAAAGTGTTTTCTTTCCTGAATAAAATATTCTGAGTTCTGAAAGATCCTAAAAGAGATTATTCTGTTTCTTTTTACATCACAATAATTCCCTGAGAGCTCTCTAAACTTGCTATTTGGGATTTGTGCTATTTTTTTTTTTTTTAACTTAAATGTGACACCCAAAATTAAATGCTACACTGGAGAGGAAAATGTATTATTTGCAATTGTTTGAGAATTTCTCTTAGTTCTATCTCCCCACTCCTTCAGAAGCCCTGAGCTCTACTCACAAGAAGACCTCGCACATGGAACAGGTATTGCCATGCATTTTCCCGTCTGGGCCCTGGATGGGGTCGTTCTCTCTGGTGCAAGGCAGTTTGCCATTCCTCACATACTTGCGGTATTCACTGCACAACTCCTGTGAAACGGAGGAGACAAGTTTGAGGTATTGAACACAGGTAGGATCACATTGCAAAAATAACTGGAGACTGGACTTTCTCTTAAGTGGGGATCGGCAACTGGCCTATTTTAGAATAGTTCTTAATTTTGAAGACATGAATATTTTCAGGTGATGAAATAATGGATCCTCAACTGAAAAATAGCCACACACGTGTCTATGCACCCATGGAAAAAACACACAAACAGAAACTGTCCGCATGTTTCCTACAGCCTCAGGGAATTTATGGGTTCACTGAGTGCCATGTATGGGTCCCAGGTCCATATGCCTCTGACTTGGAAAAGGTCCCCTCACCTCAAAGGAAGCTGTCTCAGATTGTCTTTTATTTCTTGATTCAGCTTCCTTCTTTTTCTTTTCTTCTTCTGCTTGGCTAAAAGAGAGTGATTAAAGAAAGAAATGAGCAAGTCATAAAATCTCCAGGTTGAAATTGATCTCAAATATCATCGAATTGCTACAGTTAATGGCAATTTAATTCTATGCCTAACATTGTGCTCACATTAATAAAATCCTCACAAGTGCATGTGGCAGAAGTACTATTTTAAGCCCAATTTCAGGTGAGAAAACTGACAGAATGTAGAGCTTTCCAAGGACATAGAATTAATAAATCCAGGCAGAATGTCAAGCCTACTCAGAGGTGGTTTTCTAAACTTCTAGTACTCACAGCTGTATCTCTGGTTATTATCTCGCTTTGCTCTAATCTGCCCACCAGTTTTCTACCTCTGTAATCCTTGAAATCCCATGCTAGGTCATTTCATCCTTAAAGTCCTCAAGCTTTAGAAAGTGTCTCCTGGCATTGAGCCGAATCTGTCTCCTACAGGTCCTACTTACTGGCCCCACATCCACCCATGGAGACAACCTAGAACTTCTCCGTTTACACATTTAAAGACAAAAACTATTTTGACATTTCCAGACTGCGATTTTCCCTTGACTAAGTGTACTGAGCCTTCATAATCCTCAAAGGCTGTGGTTTTCATGCATTTCTCAATTTCCTCTAAATATGTTTTTGTCTTTCTGTTGAAATGGCTCTCTCATAACTGAACATAGTAATGAAGCAGAAGGTTAATCTGAACCCAATGCTTATATTTTCTAGAATCCTTTTCATAACAATAATTATCTAGTGGAAGAGAGAAACATTAAGCAAATAGTCACATGTGTAAATTTACTCCTGACTGTGATTACTATGAAGAAGAAAAAGTTCTGGGTATGATGAGGGAGAAATTTGGGGGTAGGAGCATAGAGTAGGTTTCAACAAAGCTCTTCAAGCTGACAAGACACGTGGAGGAGTCAACTCCACCAGATACCAGTCATTCCTTATTCTAAACCATTCCTCCAGGCCCTGTGTATGGACTGAAGCACTGTTTTGCACATTGGTTTGATTGCTTGGGGATCAATGGTGTGATTTCAGATGATTTTATCCTCCACCCTGCACAGGTCAGGTCCTTGGTCTACATCTTTTTTCACTTCCATGGGAGCTTAACCAAGCAGTGATTGAGATATTGGAATTATTCTTACATAATTAGGACATGGTGCAAAAAGGTGGCACAATAATGCCATGGATAAAAAACAAAGCCAATTTAAAAAATAAGATATTACAGCTGAAAATAAGGAAACATGGCAGAAAGGACAAAACCCTCCCATATTTTCCAGCTGCAGCATTACTCACAAGAAGACCTCACACATAGAGCAGGTGTTGCCATGCATTTTCCCATCTGGGCCCTGGATGGGGTCGTTCTCTCTGGTGCAAGGCAGTTTGCCATTCCTCACATACTTGCGGTATTCACTGCACAACTCCTGTGAAACAGAGGAGGAAAGTTTAAGGTATTGAACACAGGTAGGATCACACTGCAAGAATAACTGGAGACTGGACTTTCTCTTAAGTGGGGATCGGCAACTGGCCTATTTTAGAATAGTTCTTAATTTTGAAGACATGAATATTTTCAAGTGATGAAATAATGGATCCTCAATTGCAAAAAAGCCACTCACATGTCTATGCACACATGGAAACAAACACACAAACAGAAACTGTCTGCATGTTTCCTACAGCTTCAGGGAATTTATGGGTTCATTGAGTGCCATGTATGGGTCCCAGGTCCATATGCCTCTGACTTGAAGAAGATCCACTCACCTCAAAGGAAGCTGCTTCCTTCTTTTTCTTTTCTTCTGCTTGGCTAAAAGAGAGTGATTAAGAAAGAAATGAGCAAGTCATAAAATCTCCAGGTTGAAATTGATCTCAAATATCATCGAATTGCTACAGTTAATGGCAATTTAATTCTGTGCCTAACATTATGCTCACATTAATAAAATCCTCACAAGTGCATGTGGAAGAAGTACTATTTTAAGCCCAATTTCAGGTGAGAAAACTGACAGAATGTAGAGCTTTCCAAGGGCATAGAATTAATAAATCCAGGCAGAATGTCAAGCCTACTCAGAGGTGGTTTTCTAAACTTCTAGTACTCACAGCTGTATCTCTGGTTATAATCTCGCTTTGCTCTAATCTACCCATCAGTTTTCTAACTATGTAATCCTTGAAATCCCATGCTAGGTCATTTCATCCTTAAAGTCCTCAAGCTTTAGAAAGTGCTTCCTGGCATTGAGCCGAATCTGTCTTCTACAGGTGCCACTCGCTGGCCCCATGTTCACCCACCCATGGAGACAACCTAGAACTTCGCCATTTGCACATTTAAAGACAAAAACTACTTGGACATTTCCAGACTGAGATTTTCCCTTGGCTAAGTATACTGAGCCTTCATAATCCTCAAAGGTTGTGGTTTTCATGCATTTCTCTATTTCCTCTAAATATGTTTTTGTCTTCCTGTTGAAGTGGCTCTCTCATAACTGAACATAGTAATGAAGCAGAAGGTTAATCTGAACCCAATGCTTATATTTTCGAGAATCCCTTTCATAATAATAATTATCTAGTGGAAGAGAGAAACATTAAGCAAATAGTCACATGTATAAATTTACTCCTGACTGTGATTACTACAATGAAGGAAAAGTTCTGGAAATGATGAGGGAGAAATTTGGGGGTAGGAGCATAGAGTAGGTTTCAACAATGCTCTTCAAGCTGACAAGACACGTGGAGGAGTCAACTCCACCAGATACCAGTCATTCCTTATTCTAAACCATTCCTCCAGGTCCTGTGTATGGACTGAGGCACTGTTTTGCACATTGTTTTGATTGCTTGGGGATCAATGGTGTGATTTCAGATGATTTCATCCTCCACCCTGCACAGGCCAGGTCCTTGGTCTACATCTTTTTTCACTTCCATGGGAGCTTAGCCAAGCAGTGATTGAGATATGGGAATTATTCTTACATAATTGGGACATGGTGCAAAAAGGTGGCACAATAATACCATGGATAAGAAACAAATCCAATTTAAAAAATAAGATATTAAAGCTAAAAATAAGGAAACATGGCAGAAAGGACAAAACCCTCCCATATTTTCCAGCTGCAGCATTACTCACAAGAAGACCTCACACATAGAGCAGGTGTTGCCATGCATTTTCCCATCTGGGCCCTGGATGGGGTCGTTCTCTCTGGTGCAAGGCAGTTTGCCATTCCTCACATACTTGCGGTATTCACTGCACAATTCCTGTGAAACGGAGGAGACAAGTTTGAGGTATTGAACACAGGTAGGATCACACTGCAAGAATAACTGGAGACTGGACTTTCTCTTAAGTGGGGATCGGCAACTGGCCTATTTTAGAATAGTTCTTAATTTTGAAGACATGAATGTTTTCAAGTGATGAAATAATGGATCCTCAATTGCAAAAAAGCCACTCACATGTCTATGCACACATGGAAACAAACACACAAACAGAAACTGTCTGCATGTTTCCTACAGCTTCAGGGAATTTATGGGTTCACTGAGTGCCATGTATGGGTCCCAGGTCCATATGCCTCTGACTTGGAGAAGATCCCCTCACCTCAAAGGAAGCTGCTTCCTTCTTTTTCTTTTCTTCTGCTTGGCTAAAAGAGAGTGATTAAGAAAGAAATGAGCAAGTCATAAAATCTCCAGGTTGAAATTGATCTCAAATATCATCGAATTGCTACAGTTAATGACAATTTAATTCTGTGCCTAATATTGTGCTCATATTACTAAAATCCTCACAAGTGCATGTGGAAGAAGTACTATTTTAAGCCCAATTTCAGGTGAGAAAACTGACAGAATGTAGAGCTTTCCAAGGACATAGAATTAATAAATCCAGGCAGAATGTAAAGCCTACTCAGAGGTGGTTTTCTAAACTTCCAGTACTCACAGCTGTATCTCTGGTTATTATCTCGCTTTGCTCTAATCTGCCCATCAGTTTTTTACCTCTGTAATCCTTGAAATCCCATGCTAGGTCATTTCATCCTTAAAGTCCTCAAGCTTTAGAAAGTGTCTCCTGGCATTGAGCCGAATCTGTCTCCTACAGGTCCTACTTACTGGCCCCACATCCACCCATGGACACAACCTAAAACTTCTCCATTTGCACATTTAAAGACAAAACTACTTGGACATTTCCAGACTGAGATTTTCCCTTGGCTAAGTGTGCTGAGCCTTCATAATCCTCAAAGGTTGTGGTTTTCATGAATTTCTCTATTTCCTCTAAATATGTTTTTGTCTTCCTATTGAAGTGGCTCTCTCATAACTGAACATAGTAATGAAGCAGAAGGTTAATCTGAACCCAATGCTTATATTTTCTAGAATCCCTTTCATAATAATAATTATCTAGTGGAAGAGAGAAACATTAAGCAAATAGTCACATGTATAAATTTACTCCTGACTGTGATTTCTACAAAGAAGGAAAAGTTCTGGAAATGATGAGGGAGAAATTTGGGGGTAGGAGCATAGAGTAGGTTTCAACAAAGCTCTTCAAGCTGACAAGACACGTGGAGGAGTCAACTCCACCAGATACCAGTCATTCCTTATTCTAAACCATTCCTCCAGGCCCTGTGTATGGACTGAGGCACTGTTTTGCACATTGGTTTGTTTGCTTGGGGATCAATGGTGTGATTTCAGATGATTTCATCCTCCACCCTGCACAGGCCAGGTCCTTGGTCTACATCTTTTTTCACTTCCATGGGAGCTTAACCAAGCAGTGATTGAGATATTGGAATTATTCTTACATAATTAGGACATGGTGCAAAAAGGTGGCACAATAATGCCATGGATAAAAAACAAAGCCAATTTAAAAAATAAGATATTACAGCTGAAAATAAGGAAACATGGCAGAAAGGACAAAACCCTCCCATATTTTCCAGCTGCAGCATTACTCACAAGAAGACCTCACACATAGAGCAGGTGTTGCCATGCATTTTCCCATCTGGGCCCTGGATGGGGTCGTTCTCTCTGGTGCAAGGCAGTTTGCCATTCCTCACATACTTGCGGTATTCACTGCACAACTCCTGTCAAAACAGAGAAATAAGTGGGACATACATTTCATTTCTCTTCAAAGCAGCAGATCAAAACATCTACAGTGGCAGAATCTAATGTTAGGTTTCTCTGAGCCCAGGATTTTAGCTGTTTCTCTCTCAAATGTAAAGTTCAATTAAACAAATAACAATCATCAATTGATAAGAGATGGGAGCAAATAAGACATATTAGGATGTCACAATATAATAAAAGAAATTGACAAGTTAACTTCACTGTAACCTAAGCAGAATATAATAAGTGTGAACATCAGGTACAATAAAATCTGAGAATTTGAGAAGTTGAGACCATGAAATCTGATTGTAGAAAGCAGGGAGGTGTCAGGGAATAAGAATAATTTGACTGAGACCATGAAGAATAAATACGATTTGCTCCTTATTCAATGGACTGGAGAATATGCATATTGGAATGCTAAGATGAGCTGTGAGATACAAGTAGAAACCTACATGACATATATGGCATATAACAGAATATCAACTTCTGATTACAGGTAAAGTTGCATCAAAAAATTAAAAATGGAGCTGCCATTTGACCCCGTGATCCTAACTGTAGGAATATATCCTAAGAAGCCTGCATCACCAATCAGAAAGAACATTTTTATCCTTATGTTCATAGCAGTGCTATTTACAACAGCTAAGATCTGGAAACAGCCCAAATTCCCATCAGTTGATGTGGGCGGGGGGGGGGGGGGGGGGGGGGGAGAAAGGGTATGGTACATTTACACAACAGAATACTATGCAGCTATAAAAAAGTGAGATCTCTTACCCATTGAGACAGCATGGAAGGACTTTGAGAGTATTATGCTAAGTGAAATAAGTCAGTCAGAGAAAGACAAGTATCACATGATCTCACTTATATGTATAATCTAATGAACAAAATAAACTGATAAACAAAATAGATCTAGAGACATGGAAGCATGCAACAGACTGAGGATCCTCAAAAGGAAGGGGAAAGGGGAGGGAAGAGATTAACTGAAGATCTCATATGCATATAGGCATAACCCATGGACACAGACAATACTGGGGTGAAGGCCTGGAGAGTGGATGGGAGTGGGGAGGAATGAGTCAATGGAAAAAAAAAAAAAAGAAGCCAGATAAGGAGACAAGGAGATTGAGATGCATCCTTGATCAGACATGAAACAAGCTATTTGTGGATTTAAGAAGAGCAGTATTGTGACCTGAATAATATTTTGAAACTTTACTCTGTGTGTGGGAGAACAGCTGGAAAAGGGAGAGAACAAAACTTAGATGAAAGATTAGGAAACTTTCATCATCAAAACAATAGGTGACAATAACTTACATAAGGCTATGGGAACAGATATTGTGACATTTCAGAAGTAAAAATCACGCTTTAAAAAAATGTTTTTTTTGATTTGAGAGAGAGAAAGAGAAAGGGAGAGGGAGACAGAGATTGAAACACTGGTAAGAGAAACAAAATCAATCTGCTACTTCCTGCACTCCCCTACTGGGGATTGAATTGCAACTGGGATATGTGTCCTGACTAGGAATTAAGTGGTGACCTCTTGGTACATAGGTTGATGCTCAACCACTGAGCCACACTGGCCAAGCTAAAAATTATGCATTTTTTTTAAAAAAAATATCTATGATCAATGTATTTTTATCCCATCTCAGATATGAAATTTCAAAAATTCTTATGTAGAAAACATGCATGTAGAGTTTCTGAAAGGTGGTAAGCAAAAATCAGCCCAGTCTGTAATTGATGAAACCATAACTGTTTTTCAGGCTTTGGATTAGTTATTTTTATTATACATGGTTAGTCTCAGTAGCAGCAAGAATTGATCAAGTTCCCATAGTATTCTTGTCAATGTCACCCCCAGATTGAAGGATTATGATTTTCTGGGGGCGTGGGAGTTATAAGGCAACTAGAGGCCCAGATGTTCTGGAGGGGGGTGTCTCTCAGCCCAGCCTGACCCTTTCACAGTCTGGAAGTCCTCAGGGTGGGAGGCCACCTTGCGATCCGGGTAAAGTGAGGCCCCATCACACCTCTGCTTCTGCCACTATCGGCAGCACAAGCCTTGGCCAGCTCTGATTACCTGAGCTAGGGGGGCTGAGGGGACTGGGGGACTCTAGAGGCAGGCGCACAGAGCAGCTGGGCCTACCTGGGGGTGGGTCCAGCCTTGTCACACACCTGCTGTCCTGGCAGGGATGAGGGGACTGGATGCCACCATCTTGTGGCTGTGGGTGCCACCATCTTTGAGGGCAGGGCAGTCAATTAGCATATCCCCTCCTTATTGGCTGTGGGCACTGCCATCTTTACCAAGGTGTTAGGGTCAGTTAGCATATTCCCTCTATTTCAGATAGGATATTCCAACCTTTAGGCTCTTTGAAGTATGTTCAAATTATCATGCTAAGTAGGACTTATGGGATGTATTCAACTCACTGCAAATAAAGATGCTTCTCCAGGTTCTCTCTTATTCCTTGCTTCTGCCTTTTTCTTTGCTTTTGCTTCTGCTTGGCTGAATGAGAGAAAAAGAGAGGAGCCATAGGACCAAATATACAGATAATAGTTTCTCGATATTCCTGCATTGCTAAACTGTCCTCCCTCCTTAGAAAGAAGCGATTTTGTCCTTTTATCACTACATACCAATGAGAAGCAACAAAACCGCCTCCAGTATGGCTAGATGCCATAACTTCTTCATAGTTTCTGCTTAACTTTGAGAGAAAGAGTGTAATTGTGCATCTGGAAAACTTGCTTTCTCTAAATTACCTTTCTTGCCTGTGGTCAGAAAAGAAACATTATTAAGGTCCATAAAGGAGATGATCAAAGCTGGTACTGTGGAGACATTACACCTGAAGGGTGAAGGCAGCCGTAACAAAGCGTATCAACTGGTCCCTTCCTTTCATGACTGGAAATGAGGCAGAGAGGGCTTTGGCTACACTTTCAAGGCATGTGAACTAGTCAAGGTCTTTTCCCTTACGTCTATGAACTATCTACCTCATCATGCACACTTAACTTTATTAACTCATCTTAAATGTATTGCTTCTTCATGTCTGTGTTATCTGAAGACAAAATCTATGGTGAGAAGAAAAAGGCCACAACAGCCCATGGTAAACTAAACGAGCCTAAATTTGATTTGAACAATAGAACTGCATGATATGTACAGTTAACTGATGTTATTTCAACTATGCATGATTAGCAATCAAACAAGAGGTTGTAGATTCTAAACGTGAATCAATGAATTGAACTAAGCTCAATCACATAAATTAAGAGTAGCTCCAAATTTTGAAAGCAAGCTTTCAATTGTCACTTAGTGGAAAATGTTATGTAAAGTAACATGTATTGTAATTTTATAAGGTTCATGGTGGTTTCATGGGCAACTTTAACTCTAGTAATCAAATTTCCACATTACGTGTGAAGTTTTGGGCCCTTACGCCTCTGGAGGATGAGATGCCTATTAACTTATATAAACTGTTCAACTATAAAATTTCAAAGTAGGAAAAAACTTGGTATTTGTACAAGTTCATACTTATCAGAATGTTCCAGTGCTAAGAGAATGAGTGACACGTGAGGGCAAAACAGATACCTTAAAATAAATAGCTCTAGGTACTTACTCCCAGCTCGGTTACTAACACTTTCAGTGTAACTTACTCAATTCACTTCCCTATTTCAAGCCACAGTTTCCTCATATCTGAAATAATCAGGTTTTTTAGTTTAGCTGTAAGGTCCCTTCACATCTTGACAATTAAAGCTCTATACTCACTAGAAGGCTTGACACATGGAACACAAGTTGCCATGCATTTTCCCATCTGGACCACGAACAGGGTCATTTTCTCTGGTACAGAAAAGTATTCCATTCTTTGCATGACCCTTATATTCATTGCAGAGTTTCTGAATAATGAAAATGAGATAGTTCCATTTAGTTCTATGTTTATAATTTTTAGGTACTCTCTCTTTTTTTAATTTAAATTCTTTATTGGTTAATATGTTACACAAGTCTCCTCTCCTCCCCTCCCCCAATTGACCTTTCCCTGGCTACCCCCAACCTCCAGCACACAACCCCCACATCCCTTCACCTACTGGTCCCATCTGTGTCCATTGTTATGCTCATATGCATGCATATAAGTCCTTTGGTTGATCTCTTACTCCCTCACCCACCCTCCCTTCCCCTGCCACCTTCCCTCATAGGGTAGATTCTCTTTATTAAAAATATTTAAAAAGAAGAATAATAAAAATAAAGCTTTTAAGATTTAGACTCTCAAATTTTAAGTTAAGGGGATATAAATATAAATGTGACTTAGCTCTTCTATTATTCAAGTGAAAAAGATAAGGAATGACAATATAAAAAGCTAAGAGATGGCACAAGTCAGAATTCAGTGCATACAAGCACAGAGGAAAGAATAATTCATGGAAATTCAGAGAAGAGCTTATATCTGATTTGTATTGTTAGGATAATTTCCAGGAACACAATGTGGCAAAAAGTCCTTCAAAAGTAAAAATTATATGTAAAGACACAGAGGCATAAAAGGACATGTTATTTCAAGCTAATCCTTTGTGGTCATGAGTATAGTGGCTGAAGAATTAGTGGGCAAAGTCATTAGGGAACTGGTTAAAAGGAGACCTTGAAGATAAGTCAAAACCAGGCTACTAAAGTTTAAAAGAAATTTGGACTTTATTCTTAGAAAATGGGAAATGATAAATATTTACAGCAGAAAAGAATACAATCAAACCTTTGTTTTAGAAAGACTATCCAGTGAGATATGTGGAGGATTTGAGTGACTAGAGACTGAAGGGAAACTATAGAAAAAAAGAAAGGAAGCCAAAACTGGTTTGGCTCAGTGGATAGAGCGTCGGTCTATGGATTGAAGGGTCCCAGGTTGATTCAGGTCAAGGGCATGTACCTTGGTTGCAGGCACATCCCCAGTAAGGGGGTGTGCAGGAGGCAGCTGATAGATGTTTCTCTTTCATTGACGTTTCTAACTCTCTATCCCTCTCCCTTTCTCTCTGTAAAAATTCAATAAAATATATTTTAAAAAAAATAAAGGAAAAAAGAAAAGGATAAAATTGGAGTCAGATAATTCTTTGATATATACCTGCATTTAGAAATAGGGAACTATTTTATTAATATGACTTGATTAATTTCCTCCAAATAGAGCTAAAAATTGTAATGTCATACTTATTATTTTATTATTATAAATCTTATAAAATAATAACTATAAATTAGTTTCCAGAATACCCATCAGTAGTGGAGAAAAAAATGAACCAATGTTGAAAATGTATTCTAGAGTAAGATGCACATACGCACACATACTACAAAAGTTCTAAGTAGATTGATCAAACTAATCCTCACCTCAATTTCTCTTTTAACTTTAACTTTTTCTTCAGCTTTTCTCAGGTTTTCAGCTGCTTTATATTTTTCTTCTGAAAAGCGCCGTTTTCTAGAGAAAGAAACAAAAGCAAACAAATGACTATAATGCTTTAAATCTTCATGTTATAAAACTGTCGTTTAGGCACAAGTAGAAAACAACTAAGTATTCCTGAGTTCTTGTACAAACACTTTCTGATCACCTTAAAGTCCCTTTTCAAATTGAAATCTCCACTGTTTCCCCAAAGAACCCCTTTCTTTCATTTTGCCTTCATGCATACCATTTCCTTTCATTGTAATGATCTTTTTTTTTTAATCATCTTCATTTCTTCTAAATCTCCCCAGCTTAAATTTTCCCTTCTTTAAGAAGACATCTTAGACCTCAAAGTGAAAATGAGTCCTACATCTGTCATTGCTGTTTTCATACCTGAATATTCACCTCTTATGGTACATTTTCATTTGGTTGTGCCCTGTGTGTGTGTGTGTGTGTGTGTGCATATCCATGGCTTTTTTTCTGCTATTTAGCCTTAGTCTTCATTCATATAGTCATTAAACATTTAGTTAGTAACTGTTTTTTGGCAAGCATTAGCCTGGGCATATAGCACAACAGTATACAAAACAAACACTGAGCTATAAGTTCCTGTCTTTTTGGAACTTAGAGTTCAATAGCGAAGACTGATAGTCAATAAGCAGTCATAGAAAAAATTCCCCATTACCAACTGCAATAACTGTTATGAAATAAAATCAATAAGAGTTATAAAAATTGAATCTCAATGAGAGATTTTAGGCGGTCTTATCCAAGGTAAGATAATGTTAAAATGCAATCCATGGAAGAGAAGACATTAACTGGTCAAGACTGAGACAAGCTGGAATAAGGGAGCACAGAGAAAGAACAGAGAGAGTTCAAGGATCTAGAGAAAGTGTGATGATCACAATGAGAAAATTAATGAAGGACACAAAGTCTTGGTACCTGCTTTTACCCTCATTTTATATTATGGATATCTCATAGAAGGCTTACAAAATTCATGAGAAGAAATATTAAGAAGTATTTTGTTATCCAACCTTCTCACTGAGTAATAAAATCCATTTGTACTCAGAAATAGACATATATCATTAGGATCTATTTAGCAGGTGGTATTATAATTTGTAGAGAACATAAAACTGCTCGAAATTCTGAACAAATCTTCTCCTCAACACCGTTCTTACTCATCATTCCAATCAACCGCCACTTCACTCCAGAGACCCCACATCTGTACTCACAAAATATCAGCACACAGGGCACATTTGTTGCCATGCATCCTGCCATCAGGCCCACGGACTGGGTCACTCTCTCGGGTACAAAAAAGCCTTCCATTCTTCGCTTGGTTTTCATATTCTTTGCAAAAATCCTTTAAAAAGACAAGCAATTACATTGAACACATTTCTACATTTTAACACAGAATGTATACCAGAACTTCATAGTTAAAGAATGTCAGATCTCAAAGGTGTTGTTAAACACATATTACATATTAATAAGAATTAATAAAAAATAGTAATTACAGTATAAAATTACTCAGTGTCTATATTTCCTATGTGGTATATTTATTAAAAGGTAAAAGAGCCTTAGGAAGGATAAGGTTGAGAAAGTATTTTCTAAAACTAGTTAGTTCTTGTTAACTTTCAAATCTATGAAAAAAATATAATAAAAAGCAAAAGATCTTTCAATGGCGTTCCAACAAAATGCAGCAGCCAAAACAAAAAAATAAATAAATAAAAGTTGAAAATGAGTAGGATATACAAACTGTGAGGTGAGATACTTACATGCTACTTAATATGGATCAAGTCAAGAATAATCCAAACCAGTTGGCAAGGAAAAAAAAAAATAAGCTGGTATCCAACAGCATTAGGCTTATGTTGATTTGTTTTCTCCATTGAATTGTGCATCATTTTTATGTAATCTGCTCTTTTATAAATGTTTATTTGTAATATGATAGGTAGAAACCTTAGAGAGAGTGAATCTAATTTTCATTCACTCCCTTTCTTAGAGTGATAGAATATCAAGATGAATATTTATTTAGAAAACCTTAAAAAGATTATTACTTCCTTGCAAAATCTGAGAGGTTTGTACCTATTTCTTGATGCTTTGGTTTAGTATTCTTGTGTTTTTCTTTGTGTTTTAAAAACTACTATCTGATGTGGGATAAGTTTACACAAACACATAAATTATTCTAGACTTGGGAATCTGTATATCAATAAACATATTTTGTGATGACATATATTACTACAATATAACCTACAATAATGCTTCCCTTTAGACCTCTCTTCAACTGTGTGACCTTCATTTTTCCCTTTCAGCCAAGAAAACATGAACATAAAGTGAGACCTGAGTAGCTGGATTGTGCTTCAAACCCACTGGGAGACCATCATAAAATCTCACTTCCTTTGAGACTCAAATCCCATCACCTTCAAAATGAAGTGTTTTAGAACAGATGCTCGTTAGGACCTTTTAAAAACTTTGAATTCTCTCCCTTTTTAAATAATACATATTACTTAGAACACTTTAAAAGAGAATCCTAATTACCTCCTAATGAGAAGATATTTGTGTTTGGAGGAGCAGTGGGTGTGCTCCAAACTTCCTGGTTTTAACAATCTAGGGATACCGACACAGAAGTCACCTATAATCATAGCAAGGTAATAAAATCAATGCGCAATAATTCCCATAAGAGAAACAATGATAATTTCAGTTTATAAGCTGTGATTCACCCTAGGAAATTCTTTTGTGAGCAACCCACTGACAGTTAAATTATGGGGCAGAAATTGAGCCATCACAGTAAACCTGTCCTATTCAACATAATCATGTCCAATGACCCCATCAAAAACAATTACCCCGGCCACAGAGAGGATGAGGGAAAAGTAGCCGAGATGTGATGAAAGACAAGGGGAAAGAACTCTGTTTACGGAGTAGTAAGATGCTGACTATCACATGGTGACCCAAGGTTTCAGACTGAAGTTTAACCGCCACTAAAGAACTGCTTTTCAAATTTCAGTGAGTATTGAACAAATTGTTGACAGCTCTGAATGCTTCATGCTTTATTGAAACACTCAATACCCTATGAAAGTTGAGATATTTGCTTCATTGAATAGCAATATGAAATGAAAGGTCAGGTCTTGACTACCATTAACTGGATCTGTGTTTCCCTTGGGAAAACATATGCCCTATAATCTACAAGAATTGTATGCTTGTATTAGCACATAAAGGTGTAAAGGTGCAAGACATAGAATCCCAAACCAACAGGAAAGCAGAATTGAGATCATTTATTCAACCTCCTCATTTTGCTGCCAAAAAAAATTGAGGCCCAGAGAGAAGAGATGACTGGCTCGGTTTCACACACAGGAGCATGACAGAGCTCAGACTAAAACTCTGGCGCTCTGACTCCTCAACAAAAGGTTAGTCATCGATAATTTTAATTATTTAGCAAAGTAACTGCTATCATTTTTACGGAAAATAGGTTTACTAGCCTTCATGATTTAAGAAATCCAGGCTGAATTACCTACAATGCCTATTCTATTAACAAAATGAGTGTCATTTGTATGCTAGATGGAAAATTAAATCATCTAATAATTTTTAAAAACTTAATTGTGGGTGTATTTTTGAAACCACAAGCTCAATATTTGTTTGAGATTTTCATGTAACAGAAGCAAGACTTTTATAAATGGGATTATACATAAAATATACTAGTGAATATATTGTTCAAAAGACTCTATAATTATTGTTATTTTATTATTTTTTAACTTAGAATTTCATTTTTAGTTTGTAACAAAACTTTGAAACTTGATTTCCCCCCAAAACATCAACTGTAAGAACCTGTTAATAAAGGCCTTAAATAATAAAAATTTATTTTTTAAAGTTATTCCTAATTTATATTGTTATATTTTTTATAATTATTCAAAGCAAGGTTATACGAAAGCCTGATGAAAATTAAGTGGAATTTAATTTGCCTAAACTTTCTGACTTACACTCTTTTTTTCTTTTTTTCTTCTTTTTTTTTTTTTTTTTTTTAAGCAAAGAGGAAAATTGCGTATTTTGAGCTTTAGGTGAGAAATGCTGTTTTAAGAATGAATTTAATTATTAATATACTAGGAATTGTCAACCTGGGGAATTGTGAAATTAATGGAAATGCTAATGTGATAATGAAGGACAATGGCATTATTAAATTACCTCAAATGTTTAAGCATATGTTTATTAATATTTATAGCCACAAGAACTAAATTGCGTTGGTGAGTAATTTACCTTTTCAGCACTTCGTCGAATTCTGGTTTCATCTTGTCGCTTTCTATTTTCTTCAGCTTCTTTTAAGCTGCAAAGAATGAAAACACTTGGTCAGTTTATAGCTTGATCCTATTTTTAGTGTTCAGTTCTGTGTTAAGTTACTTTTATATCTTTTGCCCTGACTTGTTAAACTGATCCACTTACATTAGACCAACTTTTGTCTGTCTTGAATGTCTGAGCCTGAAAATTACAACAGATAAGAAAGGGTAAGGAAGGGTGTGAAACTGACTCACTCCCAGTCAATTAGAAGCTTTGTTCTGTGCAGCTTGATGGGTGTGACTCCTTGATTGACAAACTATTGTCAGGAGAATTCCATTTAACAGGTAGAACCAAGAGCATTAAAATAATGCTGTGACGAGGTGAAACCAAACTGAGTATTGGAAATATTGTCGTTCACACCCTATGTATAGCTTTCTATACCTCGTAAAGTACTTTGTTTGCCTTTATGTAAAAGCATCATTGTTAATAAGAGCTACACGAAACTGAACTTCTAAATCCTTTTATATCACCTATTATTTAATTGCAGTCTCTTCCTACATTATTATTTTAGTTCTACAGAGAAAAAAAACAGGAGTTAGGGAGGTCAAATTCTCCTTTTTGGCTAGTGCATAAAGAGAAAATGAAAGTTGCAGAATCAGCGCAGGTTTGAACACTAAAGGCACATATCTCCTAGTTCTAAACAGGTGAAAATTTGGCTGAATTCCAGTCTAAAAACCAGTTATAATCACTATATTGTAAACCTGTTAAGACATGCCCTTGAATCCTACAACAGTACACTGTAATTTTCAAAGGCAGGTGTGAAGTTTACTAATCTGTAAATCTTTCTCTGTTCAGCTTTTAAAGATCCCAGAGGATGTATACAAAGCACTTTAAGGCTTGCCATCATATAGATTAGAGTCTATATCTTGTTGAACATCCAGAATATTAAAGACTCATTGGATCGTGTTCATACCTGGGTTTCATTGCTCAGAACCATGTCAGGCACCCAAGGAAAGATTAATCTAACAATTCTTCCCTTTCATAAATTCCACCTTTTATACTAATAATAAATTCAGCCACATGACATTGCTGTCATTATTATTATTTTAAATTAGAATCTCATTGTAATAAGAGTTTCTATACCTGTCCCCCCAAAAAAACAATGCATGTCAAATGACTGAACGAGGTTATTCCATAGGAAAGTGCTTTTTAATTTTAAAAATGTTATGTCTTATAAGACATTGTGCATTTTCAAATCATTATAATGGAACAAATTAAGACTTGAATTTAATAACTAACATAACCACCTTATCCACTCCTTTTAAGAAACTTTAGCAAATGAAATGAACTAAAAAGAGAAAAGCCACTCTGGGAGCAAAGACCATTTGCCTTATGAAAACAAAAGATTGCATGCTTCGCAATAAGGACTTGATCTCTCTGAGGAGTGGTGCCTAGGACAGTCACCAAAGACATCCTCATCAAGCCTGATTGGGGATGGAGATACTCACAACAGCTCAGCACACATCGCACACTTATTGCCATGCGTCCTTCCATCAGGGCCACGAACTGGATCATTTTCCCTCGTGCATCCAAGTCTTCCATCCCTCACATAAGGCCGAAAAGCACTGCACAAATCCTAGAACAGGGGAAGAAATGTGATGTTTGCCACCTTGATTGTAATGCTTACAACGCTGCTTTCAGAAACTTTATAGAACTCAGTGCCTCTCTGTCAAGTGCATACTAGTCACCTAGAGCAGTCTGAGACGTGTAGAAGTAGCTCCATAAAATTCATGTGGTGAAGTATGGAACTCATTTACTTATTAATTCATTTATTAGTCAACATGGATAAACTACTGTGTGCTAGAACTAAGGTAGAACACAGTCCTTGTCCTCAGCTTGCTCACAATCTACTGGGTGACACAGACAAAGAGAGGTTTAAAATGCAACCTAAAAGTCTTGGTGAGGGTAATCACCAGTGCCTCTAAGAAGGGCACCAAAACTTGACTTAGAAAAGTCACTCAGCAAGAACAAGTCAACTGTGATATAGTGAGATGTTCACTTCCTTCTTCTAACATCAAAGGCTCACAGAATTTTAGCATAAAAAGAAGCTAGTTAATCCAAATCTCATTTTCAGATATTGGAAACACTGGAACAGAAAGGTTAAGGGATTTGCCCAAGGCCTCCTGACACCAAGTGACAATGCTGGGATTTCAATTTAGGTAACTGACGGGAGTGTAGTGACCTTTACTACTATACAGGTAGTTCCCTTTTAACTCCCCCCTTCCCTCCTTGGCCCTCTCTCCCTCCCTCCCTCTCTCCCTCCCTCTCTCCCTCCCTCCCTCCCTCCCTCCTTCCCTCCCTCCTTCCCTCCTTCCCTTCCTCCCTCCCTCCTTCTCTCCTTCCCTCCCTTTCTCTTTCCCTCTTTTCATAGAAAGCTAAAATAGAGCTGAAAGGTCTAACTATCTACTAAAGTAACCTAGTCTAGCTTCAAAAACTATCAATTGCTTTTCATCAAACAAGCAGTATCCCAGTTCAAGCACAGCAATAATTACTTCTCTCCAACCACCCCACCAACGAAGAAGGAGGAGCAAAGAGCCTTCTTCCTCTTCGAAGTCAGTGCCCCAGCCCCAGTGTTCCCACCATGCTGACATGGGTGCTCACCTGCTCTGGAGTACTGCTTTCACACTCCCCTTCGTTTTTTATGCCAACTTGGGACCTGGTTTTACTGGAATTGAAAGTTCATAAACATAGTTTAGTATCACAGAACTTCTCATAATTTGAGTGTTAACTTATCTTCATTGTGTTGTGATTCTTTGCTCTTGAAAACAGGCATCACATTGCATTATTTTCTTTACTTACTCTAAGGAGAGCCTAGGTTTATAACTTGGAATCAAAGAAATGGAATCACATTGATGGGACAGTAAGATGCACACCTATAAATGTTAGTTCCAGATCTGTTTTGCTATGTCTAGAGGGGGCCCTATCAGAAGTGTGGGAAAAAGTAAAACTTGTAACTAGATATTAGATGCCTCCCAAGAAACCTTGTTGTTGATGTTACTGGTTTTAATAAATAAATTCAAGGTGACAGTATCTAGCATTCCATTATACTATCCTTCATTTGGGTTATGCTAACTAACATTCTGTTTTTCACAGGAAGATTATAAAGTCCTAATAATTAATTTTGTTCCATCTAATAGAGCTTTAAAGCATATCTGAAAACATAGAACCATAAATATAGAACACATTTCCTACTTCCTATAAAGACAAGGCAGCTTACACCTACAGTATTTGTATAACAACAAAAATCCAATAGAAATAAGAAAAGTAAAAACTTAGTAGTTAAAGTGATAAGAAAAGCTATATATATATATATATATATATATATATATATATATATATATATATATAATCAGCTGAAGGAAACAAAAATATTAAATTTCAGAGTCTTCTTGTAGACCAAGCTAAGAAATGCAATGAGCAGAATGACTCACTGCACAGTACAGGAAGCATACCAGAAATGATGGGAGAAATACTTACACCTGAACCAGAGATTTAAAGAATCTACCACAGGATTCCCCACCTAAATCAGAGTATAATAGAAACAAAATGTGCAGGGTGCTCACAGCAGTTATAAAACACATATCTAATAAAAACCAGTATGTTCTTTCCATGTCTGTTTTTGCTTTCTGTTTCTCTATGTTGTCCCTTGGTAAGAGTTGAAGATATAATTTTTAGGGTGTATTTCTGAAAATGCAGTCATATGAGGGATTAGAGTGACTTAATCCAGAGGTGCCTTGGTAAAGCTTGCAGAACCTTGAAGACTAAATATCTTTCATAGTCTTTACCAGTCTTCTCAGACATTGTTTGTTATATTTTCAAAAACTGAAGAGCAGACAATTAAAGATTGAGGTCACAAACCAGAACCTGCAAAGCAAGTATGCTATCTTGTTAGTTAAATACAATCAATAACCAAACCTGGTATTGAGGGTGGAGAAGCAACAAATGGGACAAAATATAGGACAGCAAGATGCTTTATTGATGTGGTGAAGATTGAAGAGATGAAAAGAATTTCAACATTAAGAGTCCCAATTACCTACTCTAATACTATAAATTACTGAGAACTTAATATAAGTTGATGATTAAATAATTCTCTGTGGAACAGAATACAGTCAGAAATAGATAAATAGAAAATAGATGAATTATGTAGTATATTGTTTGTATGCTTATTATATATAATATATGTATATGTATATATATATGTATAGATATAAGCTTCTATCCCTGCTTCATAGACACAGTGATAACCATCTGATAAATAGCACACAAAAGTGCTTTGTAAAATATAAAGTTATAAATACTGTTCTTTAAGAGCAGTAAAAGAAGTGGTTCTAATACTTTATAGATGACTAATTCCCACAAGATGAATCATTAAAGACCATAAGAAAAAATGTGTCATGTAATTACACAGAGAACATGCTGTAGGGAAAAAGACTGCTTCAGAGAATACTCACACGTTCTCAGCACACAGGGCACATCTGTTGCTGTAAGTTTTCCCATCTGTGCCACACACAGCTGCATTATCAAAGTTACAGATAAAATCCCCATCTCTTTCACCTGTCCTGAAATCTTCGCAATTCAACTGCAAGAGATGTGGTTAAAGAAAATAAAAATATTAAGAGAGAAAATATTCCTTAGGAACTTAATTAGGTTACTGGGTTTTTAAAAAATATATATATTTTTATTGATTTCAGAGAGAAAGGAAAAGGGAGAGAGATAGAAACATCATTGATTGGCTGCCTTCTGAACACCCCCATAGGGGATTGAGCACTCAACCCAGTCATGCGCCCTTGACCAAATCAAACTGTGAACTCATCGGTCCACAGGCCTATACTCTATCCACTGAGCCAAACCAGCTAGGGCATAGGTTACTATGTTAAGCCCACAACAATATAACTCACTGGAGAAGGAAAACATATTAAGGAGACCACACTGAGATAATAAAATCAGGGATAATAAACATGGTTCAAGAAAAGGGGTATAATTAGATTAGAGAAGAATTTCAGTATAATTTTAGCTCCTTGCTGTCTGTGTAAGATACCAAATCACCTCTCTGAAACTTAGGACTGTTTGTCTATAAAATTCTACTTGCCTTCTTTACAGATTGGTATTGTAGATAATACATCTTCAAGCTCATTGTAAACTATAAGCTGTAATAAAGTTTCTGTTATTACCAGTTAGGCTAATGATCACAAGCCGGATTTTTTAGGTTCATAGTTCTAACTCTGCCACTTACAAGCTATGTGATATGGAAAAGTTACTTAATCTCTCTGTGCTTTAGTAACCTCATTTGAAAAATGCATACAGACTGCTCTCAGGACTATAAAGATATTTAAACCTGTTTGGTTCAGTGGATAGAGCATCGGCCTGCGGACTACAAGGTCCCAGGTTTGATTCCGGTCAAGGGCATGTACCCAGTGGGGGGTGTGCAGGAGGCAGCTGATCGATGTTACTAACTCTAACTCTCTATTCCTCTCTGTAAAAAAATTAATAAGATACATTTTTTAAAAAAAGAGAGATTTAAATGTATTAATACATGTGCAGCATCTAAAACTATGCCAAGTACATCATAACCATTTATTGTTGTTCTTGTCCCTGTTGTTTTCTCTACTGACAATTAAGCCAATAAATTTAAACATCTTTTAGAGATACTTGGAGAAGTCCCAAAATCATGACTCTAGTAATATGATATGTACTTAGGGACAAACTTGAACAGTGAGAAAAACAACTGCACTAGGTAATAACTGAAGACTAGTGTTTAACTCTCACATCAGCCACCCACCTACTTCACCTCTTTGAACTTCACTTTCCTCATCTGAAAAATGGAAATCCACACCCTATCCATATTACAGATTCATGTTGAAGATCAAATGAATATTTATGAAACATTATTTGGCAACTCACTATTGTGACATAAGCTAACTAAAAAATACACAGAGTTAACTTGAATTTACTTGCTTTCTAAAATCAATGAATAAAATGAGATTTATTTTTTATGATGTCACATTGAAAAACAAATTTTAATGTCAATATTGTCATAATAAAAATATTTAACTAGAGATATGAGACATTTAAAATATAGACCTGAACCTAGTATGTCATACAATAGAAAAAATAAAAGTAGGATAAATACAAATATAGAATGAATTTGTAAAACAGAAGATTACATTGAGAAACAAAGAAGCCAACAAAGAGGGAAAAATTAAAATAGAAAAGAAAAGCTATAGGACATACCCCACTATTCATGTCGTGTTTAGAAAAAGGTAAAAAAAAATAGAGTGAAAATAGGATAAATAATGGCCATATGTGTTACTTTCATCCATTCAGTTTTTTATTTTTCCTTAAAAGACATTACACACTCACATGCTCTAGGCATTCCATAGATGTGGCATAGACTGTCACATCACCACAGCGGGGGTGGGGGGTGGGGGGGTGGGGGGGAGGGGGTGATAAAAAGAATGAAAAGAAAAATAAACAACAAAAGAAAAGAAATATGTGCTCTAAGAAACTTACATTCTAGTGGGAAGAAATAGACAATAAATACAAATGATTTTAAATTATAGTAAGTGCTATGAAAACTATACTGAACAATATGATAGCACCTAGAAGAATGGCTATTTTAAATATAGTCTCAAGAAAGATCTCTCAGCAATGATAACATTTGAGGTGATATGAGATTAATGACAAGGAGCTGGCCATTAAAGATCTGAGGGAAAACCATTCTAGGCATAGAGAACTCTTATTGCAAAGTATTTTTGGTAGGAACTAGATTGTTCTCTTCACTGGACAGAAAGGAGAGGAGGATGGGTGGAGTATAAGAAAACAACAGGGGCTTTGCCAGTGCGGCTCAATGATTGAGCATTGACCTATGAACCAGGAGGTCACAGTTAGATTCCTGGTCAGGGCACATGCCCGGGTTGTGGCTTGATTTCTAGTAGGGCCTGTGCAATAGGTAGCTGATCAATAATTCTCTCTCATCATTGATGTTTCTATCTCTCTACCTCTCTCCCTTCATCTCTGAAATCAATAAAAACATATTCAAAACAAAACAAAACAAACAAAAAAACCAACAGGAAGCTGCTGATTTTCCCTGAATATCATTTTGTTGAAACTATGGAAGCCTCAGCAATGTGAATCAAAGTTATTAATTTCCACAATCACTGCTATTCCTCTTCAACAGAAAAATCAACCACAGCATACTAGGTCACAGGTGTTAGCAGAGTGATGACAGGGCAGGTCAAAGCCCAGCTGGGAGGTGATGAGAACAGGTGCAAGCATTTACTACTCCACCTCCTCCTCCTCCTCCAAACCCCAAGGGCTGGTGGAGCACAGCCTACAGAGAACACCTCTTCCTAATGCTGACAATTGCTGAGAGCTGACAGACGGATTCCTGACCTGGTGGAGTGGCGGTGATCCAGAGTGTGCAACCCTGGCTCCAGAACCTTCAGCTGTGGGCCTTCCCTTTTCCCGTCCTTACCCTTACACTCATTGGAGAGGAAGCCACTAAAGCCTGACCTTCAATATTATCTAACACACTGTAGCAGGAAAAAACACACAACTAAAGCCATCAAGGAATATTATAGTAATAAATCTGTATATTTGGGAAGTAAAACAACATAAAAGATATAGTAATATGAACAGAATAAGTATCAACTGAAGCAGTATTATTGGAATGCATAGAAGAATAATTTACTGAGAACATAACTTTGCTTCAGAGAGATGAGGGAAGATAATGCAATATAAAGCAAGAAACAAAGAAGTTACAAAGGAAGAAAAAAGTGAAAGCTTTAGGTATGAAAAATATTTAAATGTAAATAAGTAAGCCAATATAAAGAATAAAAATAGGATAGGTACAAATACATAATGAATTTATGAACCAGAAGAATCAGATTAGGAAATTCACATAGAAGACCTTAAAAAAACACCCACCTAATTTAAAATAGAAAATAATCTATAAAAACAAAGAATAAATTTAGAAGTCTTCAAGAAGAGGTAAAAATATACAGGAAGAATATCTGAAGAAACAGGGGACATCGCTAGAATTTGTGAAAAGTTAAAGAAGAAAAGTAGCCATAGCAACTCAAATCTATAATCTGGGCCATAATAAAACTGTGGAAGTTAGGGGATTTTAACAAAATGAACTGAGAGCAGACTAACACATTAAGGAATAAAGAAATATTAACAGTAAACATGGACTTTAGCAATTCTGATAAATTATAATTATAGATATTTTATTTAGGGTAGTCATGAAAAGAACAACAAAAAGATATGTTACATTTAAGTCATCATCAAAGAAAACCCAAAGGAAAAAACTACTTCAAAAATAATTTGTAAAAAAAAAAGTGTAGTAACTAAAAATATGAAAAATTGTGAAAATCAACTCCTAGCAAAACAAGTAACAAAAATCATAAATTGACTAACCCCACAAATTAAAAGATGTGTGTTTAGATTTTAAGTATAGGAACAAAGAGTTATTGATCACAAGAGAAAAATTAAAAGAAAAAAGGCACTCAAATATCACAATAGGATAAAAAAGTTATATAGAAGGTAAAAATAAATGAGAGCAGAGCAACAATATTAATAATATATAGAATTGAGTCTAAAATGCATCCTAAGGGAAAAAAGGTACATTATATAAAGTAACACGAAGAAGGGGGAAAAATAAAATAATCAGCTTAAATTCACCTAATAATGTTGGTTCTTTCTAACCAACAGAATATAATAGAAAAATCAACAAGTGGAAGAAGAGATTTTGGCACACACTTCTCAGAAACTATAATATATTGGGGATTAACAAAAAAGCTGATATGGTAGATTTCTATATGACTTATAAAACAGAAAGAGAAAGATGAAAATAAAAATATATGCAATGTTTATTGGAAAAATATATCAACATTAGCTATACATAAAATAAAAGCATATTATTCACTAATTTTAAAAGTACTATTTCAATAATTTTAAGTAAATTTATGGAGTTATACAACCATCAATCACTATAACCTAATTTTACAATATTTCCATCATTCCAGAGGTTTCCCCTATACCCATTTATAGTTAATGCTAGCTCCCTGAACTTTCTGACTCTATAAATTTGCCTTTTCTGGATATTTCATACAAATGGGTTCATAAATATATCATTAGCTTCTTAAATTTTGCATAATATTTTAGGTTTATCTGTATTTTAACAGCATCAGTGGTACAATTCTTTTTAATTGCTGAATATTTCATTGTAAAAATATAGCTCATTTTGTTTATCCATGCATTAGTGGATATTTAGGTACTGTAGTTAGATTGTTTTCAGTTTGGGATTATTTAAAACAATGCTGCTATGAATATTCACATGCCTGACTGTGTGGGCATGTGTTTTCACTTCATTGGGGTAGATTTTTAGAACTGAATTTGCTAGGTCATCTTTAACATAACATCATATTAAACACATCAAATATTAGCATAACATCACAAAATAACATATGATATTAAACACAAATTCATGTTTAATTCTTTTAAAATTGCCAAACCGTGTTTCAGTGTTGCTGCACCCTTGTATATTCCTCTCAGCAATCTGGGAGTGTCCCAATTTCT